ACCGCCTCCCGCAGTTTGGTCAGGCTCATGTTTGTAGCTTCGAGAACACTATCCAACCATCTCATCCTCTGTCGTCCCCTTCTCCTTGTGCCCTCCATCTTTCCCAACATCAGGGTCTTCTCCAGGGAGTCTTCTCTTCTCATGAGGTGGCCAAAGTATTGGAGCCTCAACTTCACGATCTGTCCTTCCAGTGAGCACTCAGGTCTGATTTCCTTAAGAATGGATGCGTTTGATCTTCTTGCAGTCCATGGGACTCTCAAGAGTCTCCTCCAGCACCATAATTCAAAAGCATCAATTCTTCGGCGATCAGCCTTCTTTATGGTCCAGCTCTCACTTCCATACATCACTACTGGGAAAACCATAGCTTTAACTATACGGACCTTTGTTGGTAAGGTGATGTCTCTACTTTTTAAGATGTTGTCTAGATTTGCCATCGCCTTTCTCCCAAGGAGCAGGCGTCTTTTAATTTCGTGACTGCTGTCACCATCTGCAGTGATCATGGAGCCCAAGAAAATAAAATCTCTCACTGCCTCCATTTCTTCCCTTTCTATTTGCCAGGAGGTGATGGGACCAGTGGCCATGATCTTCGTTTTTTTGATGTTGAGCTTCAAACCATATTTTGCGCTCTCCTCTTTCACCCTCATTAAAAGGTTCTTTAATTCCTCCTCACTTTCTGCCATCAAGGTTGTGTCATCTGCATAGCTGAGGTTGTTGATATTTCTTCCGGCGACCTTAATTCCGGCTTGGTATTAATCCAGTCCATCCTTTCGCATGATGAATTCTGCATATAAGTTAAATAAGCAGGGGGACAATATACAGCCTTGTTGTACTCCTTTCCCAATTTTGAACCAATCAGTTGTTCCATATCCAGTTCTAACTGTAGCTTCTTGTCCCACATAGAGATTTCTCAGGAGACAGATGAGGTGATAAGGCACTCCCATTTCTTTAAGAACTTGCCATAGTTTGCTGTGGTCAACACAGTCAAAGGCTTTTGCATAGTCAATGAAGCAGAAGTAGATGTCTTTCTGGAACTCTCTAGCTTTCTCCATAATCCAGCGCATGTTTGCAATTTGGTCTCTGGTTCCTCTGCCTCTTCTAAATCCAGCTTGCACTTCTGGGAGTTCTCGGTCCACATACTGCTTAAGCCTGCCTTGTAGAATTTTAAGCATAACCTTGCTAGCGTGAGAAATAAGTGCAATTGTGCGGTAGTTGGAGCATTCTTTGGCACTTCCCTTCTTTGGGATTGGGATGTAGACTGATCTTCTCCAATCTTCTGGCCACTGCTGAGTTTTCCAAATTTGCTGGCATATTGAGTGTAGCACCTTAACAGCATCATCTTTTAAAATTTTAAATAATTCAGCTGGAATATCATCACTTCCACTGACCTTGTTATTAGCGATGCTTTCTAAGGCCCATTTGACTTCACTTTCCAGGATGTCTGGCTCAAGGTCAGCAACCACACTATCTGGGGTATACGAGACAGCAATTTCTTTCTGGTATAGTTCCTCTGTGTATTCTTGCCACCTCTTCTTTATGTCTTCTGCTTCTGTTAGGTCCTTTCCACCTTTGTCTTTTATTATGGAAATCTTTGTACAAAATGTCCCTTTCATATCTCCAATTTTCTTGAACAGATCTCTGGTTCTTCCCATTCTATTGTTTTCCTCTATTTGTTTGCATTGCTCGTTTAAGAAGGCCTTCTTGTCTCTCCTTGCTATTCTTTGGAAATCTGCATTCAATCTCCTGTATCTTTCACTATCTCCCTCGCATTTTGCTTGCCTTCTCTCCTCCGCTATTTGTAAGGCCTCGTTGGACAGCCACTTTGCTTTCTTGCATTTCCTTTTCATTGGGATGGTTTTAGTTGCTGCCTCTTGTATAATGTTACGAGCCTCCATCCATAGTTCTTCAGGCACTCTGTCCACCAAATCTAAATCCTTAAACCTGTTCCTCACTTCCACTGTGTATTCATAAGGGATTTGACTTAGATTGTATCTTACCGGCCCAGTGGTTTTTCCTACTTTCTTCAGTTTAAGCTTGAATTTTGCTATAAGAAGCTGATGATCTGAGCCACAGTCAGCTCCAGGTCTTGTTTTTGCTGACTGTATAGAGCTTCTCCATCTTTGGCTGCAGAGAATATAATCAATCTGATTTCGATGCTGCCCATCTGGTGATGTCCATGTGTAGAGTCGTCTCTTGTGTTGTTGGAAAAGAGTGTTTGTGATGACCAGCTTGTTCTCTTCACAGAACTCTATTAGCCTTTGCCCTGCTTCGTTTTGAACTCCAAGGCCAAACTTGCCAGTTGTTCCTTTTATCTCTTGATTCCCTACTTTAGCATTCCAATCCCCTATTATGAGCAGAACATCCTTCTTTGGTGTCACTTCTATAAGGTCTTGTAAGTCTTCATAGAATTGGTCAATTTAAGTTTCTTCAGCACCAGTAGTTGGTGCATAAACTTGGATTACTGTGATGTTAAAAGGTCTGCCTTGGATTCGTATCGAGATCATTCTATCATTTTTGAGATGGCATCCCAGTACAGCTTTCACCACTCTTTTGTTGACTATGAGGGCCACTCCATTTCTTTTACGGGTTTCTTGTCCACAGTAGTAGATATGATAGTCATCCGAACTGAATTCGCCCATTCCCGTCCATTTTAGTTCACTGATGCCCAAGATGTCAATATTTATTCTTGCCATCTCATTTTTGACTACATCCAACTTACCCAGGTTCATGGTTCTTACATTCCAGGTTCCTATGCAATATTTTTCTTTACAGCATTGGACTTTCCTTTCGCTTCCATGCATATCCGCAACTGAGCGTCCTTTCGGCTTTGGCCCAGCCGCTTCATCAGCTCTGGATCTACTCGTACTTGTCCTCCGCTCTTCCCCAGTAGCATGTTGGACACCTTCCGACCTGAGGGGCTCATCTTCCAGCGTCATAACTTTTATATGCCTGTTGTCTTTGTCCATGGAGTTTTCTTGGCAGGGATACTGGAGTGGCTTGCCAGTTCCTGCTCCAGGTGGATCATGTTTGGTCAAAACTCTCCACTATGACCTGTCCATCTTGGGTGGCCCTGCACGGCATAGCTCATAGCTTCTCTGAGTTATTCAAGCCCCTTCGCCACGGCAAGGCAGTGATCCATGAAGGAGTTATTCTGTTATTAAATTACCTTAATTTATTTTAACCTTATCTTACCATAAAAAGCCCTAAAGCTTAAAACTTATTTATACATAATTCCTTAAAGCATTTCTACTAAAGCCAAATAGTTTCATTCCAACATTTTTTCTAACACTCATTAATTTTACAATAATTCTCTAAATGAATTTTTAAACTTTCTTCCAATCTTCATCCATCGTCTCTTCTTCCTGGTCTCGGGTTTTGTCAGTCCTTTCTATCCCTTCCATTTAGTCCATCAACCTGGTGACCTTCTATCCGAGGCTCTTGTTTGTACCTGCACTTTACTTTGTCTTCTGCTGATCTTATTCTTAGTTTCCTTCCTTTCTCACTAAGGGGTAGATCTCGGGGAGACTCCAACTTAACAGTATCTTTATCCCTTCTCGACAGGTCATCCCATTCTCCATAGTCAGCACTGAAATCCAAAAAGTATTTAAAGGCATATTTCAAAGTCCCTTCAAGGTTAAGGGCCCCCACAACTCCAAACTCCCCCTGGCCCAAAACCAGATCCCAAAAGTCAGAACACCCTGCATAGGGGGATCTATCCAACTTCCCATCTCCAAACCAAACAGTACTCCATCTCTCCAAATCTGACTTTCTCCAGGTTCAGTCGTCAGAAACAACAACTTATGTTCCTGCAAGGCCGCGACTCTCTCCATTTCTATTACTTGAGGTTCAACCACAACCTCCTCCTTTGTCTTCTGCACAACTTCCTCCATTTCTATTACTTGAGATTCAGCAACAACCTCCTCCTTTGTCTCCTGCACAACTTGCCCTGTCAAAGCAAATTCCTGAATTGGTTCCTGAGTGGTTTCTATATAGATATTCACTGTTTGTCCAAAGTTGCTAACTGCAACAGTCATCAAATCCATCTTCTCATGTAGCTGTTCTAGTAAAGCGCTTGTCTTGCAAAAAGCAAGCACTAAAGCTTCTTTTGGGCACATTCTTATCCAAGGTCAATGTCTGGTTCTCACGATCTTTAATCTTCACAGCTGTAGAATTCCCCAGATCGACTACAGCAACAATTTCACAGGCTCCCTCTAGAGGAAACAATTTCTGTTTGTATCCGTCTTTTTAAAAGCAGATCCAGCAACAAAATTCCTTTCGTTTTTCAGATATTTTGTTCCTTTCAAGTGCAAAAGGAAACATTGGAATCAGTATGTTTCTCTTTTTTTTTTAACTATCTGTCAAATAACGTTTTATTCACAGTCAATGAACTTCCCCAAAGCGTCTGTCTCTGACATCCCGTTCCCAGGTTCAAGACGGTGGAAATTTATCTTTTTTTTACTCTCTCTCCTGCAGGTTTAAACAGTTTCAGATTTCCCCCCTCTTCTCCTGCTTCCAAGGGGGGGGGGTTGGTAGTTTTAACTGATGGAAATTTATTCCTTTACAAACGACTTTCCAGACTTTAGCTTGTAATCTATTTACAAAAGCGGAAGGCGGACTTCCTGTTTAGACCTTCCTGCTTCGGTGCCAAATTAAGATGTTTCATAATCCAATTTTTCTGTTCTACTCACGAGTAGTTGTTTAAAGTCCAATTGTCCACAGGAAAAAGTCAGCGCTCTCCGGCAACAGCAATCTGTACGTGCTTGGTGGGTACATTTATGAACATTTATTATATATATAATTTAATTTTTTTATTACACAGTGTATCTGAGGAAGTGCATGCACACGAAAGCTCATACCAAAAACAAACTTAGTTTGTCTCTAAGGTGCTACTGGACAATTTCTTTCTTTCTTTCTCCTTTTCTTTCTTTCTTTCTTTCTTTCTACATTGTAAAAAAGGTCTGACACTGGAACTTGGAAGTGGAGCCCAGTGAGCTTGCCCGGGGGTGAGATCCTGGCGGGGGGGGGGGAGTGGAACTCAGAAGTGGAGCCCAGTGAGCCTGTTCAGGGAAGATCTGTTGGGGGAAAGTGTTGTTTTAAAAAGGCAGCTAGGTGATGTGCAGGAAGATGGGGCTGCCAGACCCCCCCAGCATGTGCTGGGGGAAAAGAGAGCAAGCAAGCTCTTGGAATTTAGAGCAGAAGGTGAACAGGAGGCAGATGAATGAATTGCTAGGGGTGGGGTGCCAAAAGCAGAGACAGAAGGCATTTCCACTGAAGAGGTGTTTAAGCTTTGGAAAAAGGAGTGTGCTAACAGCAAAGAAGAGGAAGGGGGGCTTCCCCCACAGCACTCCCATCACATCACTGTATCCCTCATTGCCACACTTTGGGGCAGTGATTGGAAAATTCCCCAGCAAACAGATTGGGGTGGGGGGAGAGGCATAGCTCCAGAGGTGAGGCTACTGAAGACAGCTATCTCTGTAGACCACTGCCCACGTCTGTCACTGACTATTTTGCATGGAAATGTTCAGAGGGTTTTGAATTTGCTAGATAATGCATCTGAAGTGTCATGGAGTGTTGAATGTAATTGGGACGCTGCAAGCCCCCACCTCTAAGGAGGAGGCTCGGCAGTTAGTGGGGCCAGTGGGCTTTTGGAAGCAGCACATAACCCGTCTAGCCCAGATCCTGAGACCAATCTATCAGGTTATCAGAAACAAAACACAGTTTGGGTGGGGGGAGCAGCAACCAAAAGCGTTATCTGAGGCTAAATCTGTTGTAGCTGCACCTATGCCTTTTGGACCTTACATCAAAGAACAGCCTTTTGAGTTACAAGTGTCTGCAAATGAGGAAGGGGCTGTTTGGAGTTTGCAGCAAAAGGGACCTACAGGGAAAAGAGTGCGTCTGCCTAACACAGAGTACTCTCCATTTGAGAGGCAGCTTTTGGCATGTTACTGGGCTCCAATTGGAGAATAGCCTTTACCAAAGGTGTCATGGACATTGAAGATGCTCAAACACAGGATGAAAAAGAGAAACGTGTTAAGAGGAAGGTACACTTGGCAAACTCACCAGGATCAACTTCCGCCCGGAAACCTATTTCCCCACTGGAAGGATGTGTGGATCCAGAATTAGCCTCCACAGTCACTCATGGATTCACTGTTAAGACCACGTTCATGGAAACAAATCTTACTTGGCTACAGGTGATCGTCAAAGAAGAAAAAAGATTTAACTTTCTTTTTCTTTTTCTGCAGATGTTGTTAAGCTTTCAGCTGGGTTGCATCCTGGCCTTTGTTAAAGTGCTAGAAACAGCCTTGTTTGCTTAATTGGAAAACAGGGCTCCGGAGAGGGGCTGCTTCAAATGGGGATCGCTCAAGTGCTGCTGCTGCTGCTCCTGGCACCGACAAAGCCCAGCCCCCTTCCTCCTCTAGTCAGGGCGGGGAGAAGCCAGGAGGGAGGGAGGAGGCGCTGCTGCTGCCACCACTGTGTGAGGGAGAGGGAAAGAACACGCGCACTGGCAATCCACACGGCATTCCCGGACTGTCTGCGGGCCAGATCCAGAAGGCAATTGGGCCTGATCCAGCCCCAGGGCCTTAGTTTACTGACCCATGGCTTAATTGATAGACTCGCACAGCCTGACTTGGGTATGCGCCAGTGATCTAGGATGGCCATGTGCCCTACTTTACGAAAGACAGTCCTCTGTTTAAAGGGCTGCCCAGACCTAGTCTTAACATCAGAGGCATGGTTGGTGGTGACAGAAGAAAGAGCTTTCTTGGTGGCTGCTCCCATATTGTGGAATTTCTTCCTTTTTGTCTTTCCACTAAGACCTTCCTATTCAGATAGGCCTTTGAAAACTGTGTGAAGACAATGTGGAGCAATCAGTATTTTACTGCTGGTTCTAAATGTGTTTTAGCTGTTGTTCTTAACTAGTTTGTTTTTATTGCTTTGTATTTTAGAATGATGCTTTTAAAATGTTGTAGGCTGCCTTGAATCCCAGCTTGAGAGGATATAGATACACTAAGTAATAAACCTTACAGATTTAGAACTGGGAGAAGAAGCCCTGAGCTGGCTTGTGCATAGTTGGCACTTGAAGAATGAGCAGGCACATGGGTCAAACTTCCCCCCCCCCACTGCATTTATTTGTTTGCATTACAGCCAGTGCTTTTCTTCTAGAAAAAGAGGTTTGAGTACTCACCACGAAGTTGTTAACAGGAAGTTGCCACATTTTAACCAGCGCTTTTCTTGGGGGTGGAAAGCTGGTGCTGCATTCTTTGAATACCCCCTGAAAAGAAGCACTGATTACAGCCCTAATTTATAAATGCATCTATACATATCAATTAGCATATGCAGTTTTTTCTTTTTATTGTTGATGTGCAAGTGGCCACCCTACAACTAGTTTGTGTGTGTGTGTGTGTGTGTGTGTATATGAGCAAGGCTGCAACTGAGTACCCTGGACTCTTCAAAATAATTCTTAACAGTCTGAATGACGTAACTTTATCTGTGTAAAAATATATTAAAACCACAATATTCTATTTTAAAGTACGGCTATTTAAAAAGGTAACCAACTCTATGAGGTGACTATTAATAGTTTGAAAAATGGAAGCGAGTCACGTGCAGGTGAAAACCTCACATTCCCCACCTCCACAGCTGCTCCTCGGCGAAGGCGCTGCCCAGCTCTGGGAGTTTGCTCATTTAGTTATTTCATAAGACAAACTAACTTACTTCCAAGCGGCTGACAAAAAAGTTCTCCGCGCCGGGATGGGCGGAGCAGCCTCTCATTGGCTGGCCGTGACTCCTCCTCCCGGGACGGAGGAGGACGACGAGGCAGGGCGCCTGCGCGCTTCTTCCCCCTTTCCCGAAATGTCCGGAGGAGAGCGAACTTTCCATTGGCTGCGCCAAGGCGTCCAATCGGAAGAGGCCCGCTGTGAGCGAACAGGCGGACGAGCCAACGGCTCTTTCTTTTGAATCGCGCGGGGGGGGGGGGGGCAGAGCGAGAGGCGCCTCCCGGGACGGACGGACAGACCGGCGCCCCTGCGCTCGCTCGCTTGCTCTCTCCGGCGGACGCCCGCGCGGGAGTTGGCGCGCCTCTCTTCTGTTCTACCGAAGGTCGCCGCCGCCGCCGCCGCCTCCGCCTCGCCCTCCGGGGCGGAAGAGCGTCCCGAGGCCGCGGGCGCCATGAGCCCTCCGCTCACCGGCCTGGGGTGGAGCTCCGCCGCCGCCGCCGCCGCGGCCCCCGCGGGATGGACTCCGGTGAGGGACGAGACCCCCCAGGGCGGCCCCGGGTGACCCCGTCCCCCCCCCCCGCCGCGCTTCCTCGTCTCCGTCGCTGCCTCAGAGGGGCCGCCCGGTCGCGCGGCCCTGCGCTCTTGGCCGCCCTTCGCCTTCCCGGTGCGGCCCGAAAGGACGTCGAAGCAGAAGTCGGGAGGGAGGCAGGGAGGGAGAGAAAACCACCCTAACGCGCCTTTTACTTTTACCTCCATCTTGAAGTTGGTTAATTCTAGCTAGAGACGCGCCCAAATTTTCAGTACCAGGTGAGCTACAAGGAAGAGCGCCCCGAGGAAATGGAGAAGGAGCTACAGAAGATTGAGAGCCGTCCGTCTGAACCCTCTTGGTTTTAGAGATTAAGCTCTGCGTCTTTAGTGAAGAGATAATAGTGGCCTGCTTTGCAGGGCTGTTGTGAGGACCTTTTATAATATAATTCTATACGAAGTGCTTTTGAACAGGAATTCAAAATAATATTGTTCTGCTGGGGGCATCTTGAGGAGCCCAGGGCTGAATGGAGCTTTGGAGTGGGCAGCTGCTAGAGGCCGTACTTAGACGTGACAGTGCTGCTATACTATTTTATACCAATGAATTGCTAGGTCCTCTGGTATTTTAGACTGAATAAGAACCTGAGGCTTCACTATCGGACATTATAGCCCCTCTTTCTAGCATATGTATAGTTCTCTTCTGCATCTCTGCTGGCTATCTTGCAGCCCTGAATACAAAGACCAGGTGAACATAGCTCATCTGTCAACCAAGCTAAGCAGATGATAATTAAAGGTCATCTGACAGTTTGGCAACAGATTCCTGACTTGGTTTCAGTTAGTCAGCAACATGTATGTGCCCTTCAGCATTGTTGCAGTGTTGACGTTTCACTCCACGCACATTGAACTGGTTTGGCTACAGTGTGGCCTGGCTTGTTCATTCAGTAACTTCTTGCTTCCTGGTGTTCTGAGCTGTAGTCCAAAGGTTACAAAACCATGGACTGGTTTGCTTTCTGCCCCACCCACGCCACTGTGTCCATCCTTCACACCTGCTTGTGTCATTGTTCTATTTAATAAGCAGCACCTGTTCTGCAGGAGAGTTCCTGTGGCACAATTTCTTTAAAACATGGCTTTTTAAGGCTCTGTGGATTTATTATTATTGTTATAAGGCTCTGTGGATATTAACTTGCAAAATCTATTTTCTCCCTGTGACGCTTTGTCAAGCAAATAGATCAAGACAGTCCTTTTGCCTGTTGCTTCATAGATGTTTTGATCTCTCCTGCTGTCTCTAGATCACATCCACTGTAGAAGGAGCACCTGCAAACTTTGGAAAGGGATTTGCACAGAAATCTGGTTACTTCCTATGCTCTACATCAGCTATAAACACTGAGGTAAGGAGGATGCCAGGGTTGCGGAGAGAAGCTTGGTGCCAGTAATGTCAGGACTGGTCGTTGTCCTCTTCCGATCACCACACAAACGCTTCTTGTTCTTTTATAACTTTTTATTGTGTATTAACAAACAAACTTTTAAATGCTCCTTATCTTTAACTATTCTTCCTCAGAGTCACTTATTTCAGATACCTTCTGAGCTCTGTTTCTCCGTGACCAGCCACCTTCAAAATGGCGAAGGTGCCCTTTCCTTCGCTTTCCTGCTCTTTTTCCTACCCTCCTGGCTAGAGCTGGCTTGTCTCTCCCCTCCTCCCAATCTGAGCTAGAACTGAACCCTTGCCTTTCCTGGGAACAGCCGGTCCCTCCCTCTTGTTCCTCTTGCTCTCTTCTGTTAGATTCACTGCTCTCCTCCCCCCCTTGGGGAAAACATTCTCCCTCTGGGAAACTGGAAACTTCTAACTCTAACTCTTCCCTGACAAGTAACTCAGTGCTGCTGGACTTTATGAATTCTGCTTCTTTTCAGAACCCCACAGGAGATGTACTTTATGATGTCATAATCCTGAGTGAGAAAACCCCACTGCCTTACGGATACACTTACGCTAAGGAATTTTTGGATCCCAGTAAGTCTGCCTATTCATTGATACTGTTTTGGTATAAATCTGTTTATAACAACAGGTCTTCAGCACAAACTAACCATGAATAGCTTACATTTCCATGTATGTACCTAAGATACTTTGTGGTCCTGGGCTACAACAGCTATCCTGTAGGGTTAGCTTGTATCCCTTTGACCAGGCATAGGCAAGCTCAGGCCCTCCAGATGTTTGGGATTACAATTCCCATCATCCCTGACCACTGGTCATGTTAGCTAGGGATGATGGGAATTGTAGTCCCAAACATCTGGAGAGCTGGAGTTTGCCTATGCCTGCCTATGACTTATTACATAAGTGTGTGTTGCTGTTATAACAGTGTAACAAAACCTTTGTTGCTTCCCTCTGTGCAGGAGCCTTCCCAGACCTGCTGAAAGGCAGTTATTTAAACTGCTTTAAAAAACATATTTGGACCTGGCCAATATGGCCAACTATTGCCCAGTCTCAAATCTTCCATTCTTGGGCAAGGTGATTGAGCAGGTGGTTGCTGAACAACTCCAGGCACACCTGCAGGATGTGGACCATTTGGTTCCCTTCCAGTTCGGATTCAGGCCTCATCATGGGACTGAAACCGCCTTGGTCGACGATCTCTGGCAGGCTAGGGACAAAGGTGAAAGCTGTTTCCTAGTTCTTCTGGTTTTCTGAGCGGCCTTTGATACCATTGACCATGACATCCTTCTGGACCATGTAGAGGAGCTGGGGGCACTGTTATACAGTGATTCCGCTCCTTCCTCCTGGGCCGTGTTCAGAAAGTGGTGTGGGGGGTTCAGACCCCTGGGCCCTCACTTGTGGGGTGGTGCCTCAGGGTTCCGTCCTCTCCCCCATGCTTTTTAACATCTACATGCAGCCGCTGGGAGAGATTATCAGGGGGTTTGGGCTGGGTGTTCATCAATATGCGGATGATACCCAGCTCTACCTTTCTTTTAAATTGGAACCAGTGAAGGCGGTGAAGGTCCTGTGTGAGTGTCTGGAGGTGGTTGGAGGATGGATGGCGGCTAACAGATTGAGGTTAAATCCTGACAAGACAGAAGTACTGTTTTGCGGGGACAGGAGGCGGGCTGGTGTGGAGGACTCCCTGGTCCTGAATGGGGTAACTGTGCCCCTGAAGGACCAGGTGCGTAGCATGGGAGTCATTCTGGACTCACAGCTGTCCACGGAGGCGCAGGTCAATTCTGTGTCCAGGGCAGTTGTCTTCCAGCTCCATCTGGTATGCAGGCTGAAACCCTATCTGCCCGCGGACTGTCTCACCAGAGTGGTGCATGCTCTAGTTATCTCCCGCTTGGAGTACTGCAATGCGTTCTATGTGGGGCTACCTTTGAAGGTGACCCAGAAACTACAACTAATCCAGAATGTGGCAGCTAGACTGGTGACTGGGAGTGGCTGCCGAGATCATATAACACCGGTCTTGAAAGACCTACATTGGCTCCCAGTACGTTTCTGAGCACATTTCAAAGTGTTGGTGCTGACCTTTAAAGCCCTAAATGGCCTTGGTCCAGTATACCTGAAGGAGCATCTCCACCTCAGGTCCAGCTCTGTGGGCCTTCTGGCGGTTCCTTCGCAACGAGAAGCCAGGTTATAGGGAACCAGGCAGAGGGCCTTCTCTGTAGTGGCACCTGCCTTGTGGAACGCCCTCCCACCAGATGTCAAAGAGAAAAACAACTACCAAACTTTTAGAAGGCAGCCCTGTTTAGGGAAGCTTTAAATGTTTAAGTGGCTTTCTGATTGTTGAAGCTATTTTTCTACATCTCTTTTTAAAGCTATTAAGACTTCTGTCTCTTAATAGCTTTGGTCACTTTAGCAGTATCACAGCTTTGAGATAACAAAATTCCATTCCTGTGGATACAGTGTCAGCTAGCAAAGTAGCTTTTAATTTCTTATACACATTTTTGTCAAAGGGGGGGAAAATCCACTTAAAGCTTCACAGAGGTTCCCCTTGTCTGTTTAAAACTTTCTCATTTCACACCATAAATCCTGCTTTTTGTCACTTTTTCTCAACGCCTTAAACAGTAGCTTTCTTTCCTTTATTATGAAAAGCAGTTAACTCACCAGGTGTCAGTTTTCACTGACAGACACAGAAACTCTTTTAGGTTGTAAATTATCCCATTCTGAAGAAAATTAAGAACGGGAGGCGTTTGTATGGCTTTGTAGTGTGGTTTGGGCAAGATGATGGTCCTCTGCTTCCAGTCACTTGACCCACAGGGCAGGAAAACAACCCTCTGGCAGAGAGGAAAAACTTTTCAAAGCAAGAGGGTAATCCCTTTATTTCAACTTTTCGGAGGGAAAGCTGCCAGCCAAATGTGCGTGCAATACCTATCTCCATAGGTAAGGAGCCAATGAAAGACCTTCAATCCACCATGATTCCTCCCTTGGAAGTCCATTCCTGTTACAGCTTTGGTTGGTCATTTAGTCCTTTTCTTGATCCTCCATGGGGGAACTTTGTACTGCCGCTCATTTTTTAATTGGTTATGATGATAAGGGATAATGGAACAATTAACCTACTTCTTGAGGATATTTTTCTTTTTTGCCCTCGGGCACAGATGAACTTTACACATGTAAATGGGAACCAAATCATTTTCTCATGTTCCACTTGGCCTTGTGACTGGGAAAAGGTAGAACTGTGTAAGTTTGTTCAGCTTAGTTTTGACTCATATATAGCTGCCCAAACTCAAAACTACTGCATTTGTGAACCTATTATTTATTTAACAATATTTGAATACTGTTTCCTTAGGCTAAGTGGCTGCTATACCTGAAGTATCCCTTAAAGATGCTGACCTTTCTGCTGAGGCAGAAGATGCTATAAATATATTTGATCATAATCTTTGTATATTTCTTTATAAACCCTAATAAAAACATATTTATTTATTTTAAATAATCTAAAAGAAGACACACAGGAAAAGGGAGGAAGAATGTTCATCTCATAATCAAGATATATCAAAAGTTAGGTCTGAGGACTGAATCTGTTCTAAGTTTATTTTGTAATTATTGAAAGTAACCGATTTCCAGCAGATTAAATTACTACAGCATGTTTACCCGTGAGCAGGTATTTCAGGCATCATAAAACTAGCCAAGCACTGTTCTGCGAGAAAGCAAACGGAGCCTGATTTTTCTGATCCTGGAATCTGTGGCTCTTGTCTTAACCTGTGAGAACAAATATGGAAAAACACCTGCTCCACATAAGAACAGTGTTCAAATAAAATCGAGTCGTAATTGCATCTCTCTCTGTGGGGAAGGACTTCTATATGCCATTTGCATATTCTTTTACCTTCCCCTCCACCTTTGGATGCATAAGCCCATCTAAGGAAGGCAAGGTGTTGGTGTTATTCTGATGTCATTTGGGTGTAATCTCCTCTTCCTGCTTCCCTGCTGCAGAAACCTCCCTCTCCAAGAAGAAGAGACTGTGCGTCAAGCTGATTCCATTGACTGCAGCTGAAACAGCTGTGTTTGACATCTTGCTGAGTAGCAAAAATAAAGTGATCCCAAATTATATGCGGATAGGGTGAGGCACTCAATCTATAGTCATTGTTCTCATGTTGTAGCTCCTGGGAGACATGCTTTTGTTCTAACCATATTCTTCTCATCTAGGGAAATGAGTGGATTTGCACTTTGGTGTAAAAAGGAGCACATTCTCAAGCCCAAGCCCCTTCCCAAGCCACGGAAAGTGAGCCTAGAAATGAAGCGCCTTTCATTAGAACCAGATGGGTAAGTTTTGGACTTGCTGTAGATTATGTCCAACTTTTGTCACAAGCACATCATTCTTGATGTTATGTGAGCCACCATGATTTCCCATCTTCACTGGGATAGGCTCTATCCTATAGAAAGTAAAGCGCTAGGCCAGATTCTTGAACCATCCAAATGCCAATTGTTCTCACCTGCTTTTCTCAGTTTATTCATTCACAAAAAGAGATCAACTAAATTGCCAGACCAGATTGCCACCTGTTGGTTCAGGGTGTTTGAGCTTTCGGCACATGCGTTCCAGCTTCCAGGCTTCTGTGGGAGGCAAATTGCTGGTGAGGATAAGCATGAACTGTGGGGCAGAGAGCCTGTTACCTCTGTCCCCTTTATTTGCATAGGGTGGGCAGCAGATGGAAATTTTACCAGCACCATAACAACTGTCTTAATGTTTCTAAAACTGGATGTATGGCTTCTTTTATTAACAACAAAAAATAATCTCTGGAAGGAGAGGTGTAGCTGTTAATCTAGTTTTGTGTGTAAACTGAATTGAAACCCCTAATTTACCCATCTTACCATTACAGCTGTCCTGAATCTTTGCCAATAAGTACACGGTACCACTGAATTAGTGGGGCAGACCAGTGACCAATGCTATTTGTTATCCTTTTTTAAGTAGAGCTGATTTATGGTGGTAGAGGCAGGACTATGATGATGGTGATAATATTTATGTAACCCATCTGGCTGGGTTTCCCAACATTGGCTTTTCATCCCACTTTAGCTCATTGACTAAAAATAGTTGGGTGCACTTAGCTTCTGCCCTTATAAATTTATACCCCCGTTTCATTTTGCATTATTACTTTGTTTTTGTTATTTATAATATTTTTATTAAGTTTTCAACAAAAGTAACAAAAAATAAAAATAAAACACAAACAGTAACAAATGCAATAACATCCATAAACAAAGAAAATTATACAACAACAACAACAATCTTTATTACGGTCCAGAGACCCAACAAAACATTACAAATCAATACAGAGTTCATACAGCCTACCTCCAGGTTAATCAAGCATTTTGTTTAGAATATAGGGCTCGTTTGTTCTTGCAACCACCGATAAAAACTTTGCCACTGCCAACGTTCTAGCTTTTGTCCGGTCTTCCAGTAGGAACCTGACATAGTGAGCCTCTGATTTTCCTGGGAAAGGCACCAGCAAGGGTAGTATCAGTGCAGCCCTGGCCTGCTCATACTTCGCACAATGCAACAAAATATGATTTATGGAATCGATGTCTTGAGCACACGAGCAAAGTCTGTCCTGGTCTCGGCCTTTTGGCTAAGATCAAGTGTAGAAAATTATACATAAAACCGTATCAATTCCATAAAGTGGGATTCTCTGAATCCCCTGCCTCCCCTCCCCTCCCCCATTCCTCGTTCGCTACCTTTCTTATCAACTATATTTCATTTCTACTCCAATTTTTTTCTAGCCTCAAATTTCCCATACTATTTCTAAAATTACAAGTGTTCTTAAAATCCTGACAATGTATTTATCAGTTTACAATACTTTTGCAAATACATAATAAACATTTCCCATTATTTTTTAAATTTCCTGTCATCTTGATTTCTGAAGCTTTCCAGTTTCGCCATTTCAGCATAATCTATTAACTTGGTTTGCCACTCTTCTTTAGATGGGACTGCTTCTTCTTTCCATCTTTGGGCTAACAGCATTTGAGCAGCCTTTCATAGCATACATAAACAATTTTTTTCTGATCTTTTGAAATTTCTGCTCCTACAATACCTAATAGAAAGGCTTCTGGTTTTTTTAATAAAGGTTATTCTAAACATTTTTTTTCCATTTCATTATATATCATTTCCCCAAAATTTTTAACCTTCCTACATTCCCACCACATCTGATAAAACGTACCCTCTTTTTCTTTACATTTCCAACACTTACTAGATCCTGTTCTTTTCATTGCATATTAACAACCAATCTTATAAATGGTTCTATTATTCCTCAGAAGGGACGTGGGCGGCACTGTGGGTTAAACCACAGAGCCTAGGACTTGCCGATCTGAAGGTCGGCGGTTCGAATCCCCCCGATGGGGTGAGCTCCTGTTGCTCGGTCCCTGCTCCTGCCAACCTAGCAGTTCGAAAGCATGTCAAAGTGCAAGTAGATAAATAGGTACCGCTCCAGCGGGAAGGTAAACAGTGTTTCCGTGCACTGCTCTGGTTCACCAGAAGCAGCTTAGTCCTGCTGGCCACATGACCCAGAAGCTGTACTCGGCCACATGACCCAGAAGCTCCCTCAACCAGTAAAGCAAGATGAGTGCCGCAACCCCAGAGTCGGCCACGACTGGACCTAATGGTCAGGGGTCCCTTTACCTTTACCTTTTTATTATTCCTCAGAGTCACTTATTTCAGATACCTTCTGAGCTCTGCTTCTCCGTGACCAGCCACCTTCAAAATGGCGAAGGTGCCCTTTCCTACGCTTTCCTGCTCTTTTTCCTACCCTCCTGGCTAGAGCTGGCTTGTATCTCCTCTCCTCCCAATCTGAGCTAGAACTGAACCCTTGCCTTTCCTGGAACAGCCGGTCCCTCCCTCTTGGTCCTCTTGCTCTCTTCTATTAGATTCACTGCTCTCCTTCCCCCCTTGGGGAATGCTTTCTCCCTCTGAGAAACTGGAAACTTCTAACTCTAACTCTTCCCTGACATGACCTTCCAGATCCAACAGGTCATCATTTTTAAAAATTATCCAATCCCAGCTCCAGGAAATACAGGATGCCTCCTCTGTCTTTAACATCTATCAATAATTTATGTTTTATTCTTGGTTTCTTCCCTCTCCAGATGAATCTTGAAATATGTCTTTGCCATTCTTTGTAGCAGCTCACATTGCTTATCACCAGGACTATAAATAAATGAAATAAAAACAGCAATTTTGGCAATACGTTCATCTTGATCACTGATATTCTGCCTAGTAATGACAAATTAATCTTTCCCCAGGTTTCCATTTTCCTTTTTATTTCTTTCCATAATTTTTCATAATTATCTTTAAATATATTCTTAGCTGTCAACTGTATTCCCAGGTATTTGACTTTTTAACATATATCTATCTCTGTCTTCTGCTGTATCTCCTTTTTATGTTGTTCTGAAACATTCTTCACAAAGAGTTTGGTCTTATTCTTACTCAGTTTAAAACCTGATAATTGTACAAATTCCTGTATTTTTTCTAATACTTTCAATAATGTATTTATGGGGTCCTCAACCATTATTACAAGGTCACCTGCAAATGCTTTCAACTTGTATGCTTTATTTCCTACTGTTATTCTTCTTATGGTTTCATCTGCTCTTATGTTTCTCACCAGGGCTTCCAATATTAAAATAAACGAAAATGGTGACAAGGGGCATCCTTGTTTTGTCCCTTTCATGATACTACATTTTTCAGTAGTAACATTATTCACAATTAATCTTGCTTGTTGCTCTGAGTAAATTGCATCTATTCCTCTTCTAACCCTTTCTTCTAATTCCATCTTTTCTAAAACCTTATGCATAAATGACCAAGAAATATTATCAAATGCCTTTTCGGCATCAATAAACATGAATGCTGCTTGTTTTTCATTTCTTACTTCCAGGTATTCTGTGACATCAATCATATTCCTTATATTATCCTTCATCTGACGTCCTGGAAGAAATCCTGCCTGGTCCTATATAACAAGATTCCTTTCAATCTATTGGCCATAATATTTTACAAATAATTTATAATCGTTATTTAATAAGGAAATTGACCTATAATTCTTAGTTAATAACAAATCAGTCTCTTGCTTCAGAATTAATGTAATAAAGGCCTCTTTCCAAGTCTCTGATACTTTCCCTACTTTTAAAATTCTGTTCATTAAATTTGGCAATGGTTGCAATAAACAATCCTGTAATTTTTTATAATATTTTGATGTTAATCCATTCTGTCCTGGTGACTTCCCTATCTTTGCTTATTTGATTGCATTGGCTACCTCAGAGATATTTAATAGTGCATTTAATATAATTTTGGTTTAATACAGTGGTACCTCGGGTTACAAACACCTCTGGTTACAAACACTTCATGTTACAGACTCCGCTAACCTGGAAGTAGTACCTCAGGTTGAGAACTTTGCCCCAGGATGAGAACAGAAATCATGTGCTGGCAGCGCGTTAGCAGCAGGAGGCCCCATTAGCTAAAGTGGTACCTCAGGTTAAGAACGGGCCTCCAGAACGAATTAAGTTCGTAACCAGAGGCATCACTGTATATAAAACCACTCCTCACTTCTTAGTTTTGTCTGAAGTTATAAATTCCATTCCAATTCTTTTATTTATCTTTTTTTAAAAAATAATTTTTATTAGTTTTTTTAAACACAGAATATACACAGACAATACACAATACAAAAACATACAAACATATAAACATGTATAATTTCATAGCCGTTTTTTCATGACCTTATTTCCCGGACTTCCCCATACCTTCCCCTCCCTGCATCCCTATTTTAAACTTCTTCAGCAACTCCTCTGTCTAATTAATCAGATCAGTTTCTTTTAAATTTCCCTAAATTTGTTAATTACAGCTGCAATTCTCTATTTCCCAACCCCTTGACATTTTAACATTCCTGAATTTTACAGTAAGTTCTAAGATTTAAATTTCTTCCAGTCTTCTTCCACTGTCTCCTTCCCCTGGTCACGGATTCTGCCCGTCATCTCAGCCAATCCCATATATCCCTTCGTCTGCCATTCTTCCAGTGTAGGTAGTTGTTGTGTCTTCCAATACTTTGCTAGAAGAATCCTTGCTGCTGTGGTCGCATACATAAAAAACGTCCTGTCTTTCTTTCTCACCGATTGGCCGACAATGCCCAGGAGAAAAGCCTCAGGTTTTTTAGAGAAGGTCCATTTAAGAACCTTCTTAATTTCATTATAGATCATTTCCCAAAATGCTTTTATCCTCGGGCAGGTCCACCAAAGGTGGTAAAAAGTACCTTCAGTCTCATTACATTTCCAACATTTGTTATTGGGCAAATGATAAATCTTTGCGAGCTTGACTGGGGTCATGTACCACCTGTACATCATTTTCATAATGTTTTCTCTTAAGGCATTACATGCCGTAAATTTAGTACCGGTGGTCCACAGCTGTTCCCAGTCAGCAAACATAATGTTATGACCAATATCTTGTGCCCATTTTATCATAGCTGATTTCACCGTTTCGTCCTGTGTGTTCCATTTCAACAGCAGATTATACATTCTCGACAGATTCTTAGTATTGGGTTCTAGTAATTCTGTTTCTAATTTTGACCTCTCCATCTGGAAGCCTATTTTCCTGTCCTGTTTAAATATCTCATTTATCTGAAGATAGTGCAACCAATCTCGTACTTTGGACTTTAATTTCTCATAACTCTGTAATTTAACTTTTTCTCCATCTTGTTCTAGGATTTCACAATATTTTGGCCATTTAGACTCCATATTAAGTTTTTTCACCTCTTTAGCTTCCATTGGTGACAACCACCTGGGAGTTTTACTTTCCAATAGATCTTTATACCGCATCCACACATTATACAATGCCTTCCTAACAATATGGTTTTTGAAACCTTTATGCAATTTTACCTTATCATACCATACGTATGCATGCCAGCCAAATCTATTGTCAAACCCTTCCAGATCCAAAATGTCAGGATTCTCAAGGAGCAGCCACTGTTTCAGCCAGCAAAAAGCCGCCGATTCATAGTAGAGTCTTAAGTCCGGCAGGGCAAACCCCCCTCTATCTTTTGCATCAGTTAAAATCTTAAATTTTATTCTGGGCTTTTTGCCCTGCCAGACAAATTTGGATATATCTTTCTGCCACTTCTTGAAACAATCCATCTTATCCAAGATCTGCAACGTCTGGAATAAAAACAGCATTCTAGGCAATACATTCATCTTGATAACAGCAATTCGGCCTAACAATGAAAGTCTCAACCTTGACCATATTTCTAGATTTTTTTTATCTCTGTCCAACATTTTTCATAATTGTCCTTGAATAGATTCACATTCTTAGATGTTAAGTTTACCCCCAGGTACTTTACTTTTTTCGTTATCATTAAACCTGTTTCATTCTGAAACTTCTCTTTTTCAACCAATGTTAAGTTTTTATCCAACACTTTCGTTTTCTGTTTATTCAGTTTAAATCCTGCTACTTGGCCAAATATCTCAATTAGTTCTAGTACTCTTTTAGTACTGGTCTCTGGCTGTTGCAAAGTCAATACTAAATCGTCTGCAAATGCCCTTAGTTTGTAGTGTCTAGCTCCAACTTGAATTCCTTTAACCAACTGGTCTCCTCTAATCATATTTAATAAAACCTCCAAGACTGATATAAAAAGTAATAGAGATATTGGGCACCCCTGTCGTGTACCTTTTTCTATAGGTATTTCTTCCGTAACCACATTGTTTACAATTAACTTTGCTTTTTGTTTAGAATATATTGCACCTATACCATTTTCAAAACCTTGGCCTACCCCCATCCCTTGGAGATTCTTCTTCATAAAGCTCCAGCAAATATTGTCAAAGGCTTTCTCCGCGTCCACAAAAATCAGAACGGCCTTCCTATTAATGTCCACTTCTAACAGTTCCAAAATGTCTATAATGTTCCTCACATTATCTAACATATATCTCCCTGGAAGAAAGCCAGTCTGGTCCTTATGAATCTCCCCTACCAACACTCTCTTCAATCTTTTTGCCAAAATGTCTGCAAAAATTTTGTAATCCACATTGAGTAATGATATAGGGCGGTAGTTTTTAACCTGGTTCTTTTCAGTCTCTGTTTTCGGTATAAGTGAAATAAAAGCTTCTTTCCACGATTCAGGTGCCTTTTTCCCCTCCAAAATTTCATTACAAACTTCCTTCAATGGTTGTACTAGCCATTCCTTCAACGCTTTGTAATATCTTGCAGTCAGACCATCAGGTCCTGGAGATTTTCCCAATTGCATATTCTGAATGGCACCCTCTATTTCTTGTCCTGTTATTTTCTCATTTAAAATCCTTCTGCTTTGCTCTGAGATTTTTGGTAATCCATATTTCTTAATAAATTCCTCTATTTCCTGTTCATTTATTGGCCCTTGCGCATATAGTTTCCTAAAGTAACTTTGAAAGCAATTACTTATTTCGTTTGGTTTGTGGATAATCTTCCCATCTACTTCTAAACTTGTCACAGTGTTCAGTTTTTGCCTCTTTTTCAATTGCCATGACAGAAGTTTCCCGCATTTGTCCGCTGATTCAAATGTCTTTTGTCTCATTTGCTTTATTTTCCATTCTATCTCTTGATTCATCAGTTCCATATATTGCACCTGATAATGCTTTATCTCTCTCAGAATCTCATGAGATTTTGGTTTAGACCTCAATTTCTTTTCAGCTTCCTTTATTTTTTCCAAAATTTTTTCTTTCCTTTCATTTTGCTTCTTCCTCTTTATGGAATTCTGTTGTATTAGGAAACCTCGCATCACGGCCTTACTTGCATCCCAAATTATTCTTTTTTCCACTTCTGTTCTCATGTTTATCTCAAAGTAGTCTTTCAATGTTTTTTGGGCCTTCTTATAGATCTCTTCATCTCTAAATAGGGTGTCATTCATTCTCCATCTAAAGGATCCAGTTGGTGTTAATTTCATCTCCATCTTTACAGCGTTATGATCCGAACAAGTCTTTGGGCAGATTTCTACCTTTTTAATCCTTGGCGCCATACTGCTAGTTATCCAGATTTGGTCGATTCTTGTCCATGTCATTTTTGCTTCAGAGAAAAAAGTTCCCTCTCTCTCAAGCGGGTTCCTTGTTCTCCAAATATCAATCAAGTCCATAGTCTCAGTCACAATTCTTTTATTTATCAAGACCCTTCTATGTCTCTTGGCCACATGAGTTTCTTGTCAACAAACTATATCTAGATTTTGTTTCAGTATTACGTGTTCAATTTTATTCCTTTTTACTTTGCTATTTAATCCATTTACATTCCAGTTTAATATCTTCCTATCAGCCATTTTAATTGTCAATTATTAACGCCTTGTTTTTTCTTTTCTTTCTTCTTGCTTATCTATACTATGCTTTTCTTCCTCACCTCCTACCACTCCCTCTGGTTCTGTCAACAGTTTAGTCTCTCCTAACTCCTTTCGCTATGTCCTCAAAAATTTCTGGGCCTCTATGTCAGTGAATCTACGTTTCTTGTTTTTGTATGTGAAGGAAATCCCTTCTGGAAATTTACATCGATACGATATTATGTGGTTTCTCAGGGCATCTGTCAGAAATGTATAATTAATGTGTTTTTTAAGAAGGCATGCAGGAATTTCCTTCAGGATAATAATATTTTTACCTCCAATTTGCAATCTGTTCATATAATTGGTTTGTATTATTCTATCCTTAATAGATCTTGAGTTAAAGGTCACCAGACAATCTCCTGGCAATTTTTTAATCTGCAAATTTTGAATTCACCTGTCAATTGAACCATCCAAGAATTCTTGTTCAATTTGTAGCCATTTTGCTAACACCTCAGTTAAATATTCTCTTAAATCCTGTTTGCCTTCTTCTGGGACACCTCTCAGCCTAAGAACCAATTCCCTCTGTTTCATTTCCAAATTGATTTTTTGCAGGCTTGCATTATCACTGTGTAACAATTTCCTCTGATTGCCATATTGATTTTAACTGTATTTGAATATTTCAAAATATTGATGGTTTTTATAAAGGAACAATAGTAATGCCAGTCAGAAAATTTTAGATGACTAGGTGGAAGCTGACTGCATCGGAACCCCCAAGTTAAGGCAAAGAAGTTGTTTCCCATTCCCTGGAGCCTTCTGTAGGTATATGGTTGTATCCATTGCTACTTCAGCTCAAAAAATCAGGTCCATTAATTTCACTGGGTTTATGCTGAGTTTTTAAGTGAGTTTGCTACAACCCTTAGCCTTTTGTTGTATTAGCCAGTCAGAGCTGGTGACACCCCCCCCCCCGTATGGTGAGCAGCAGCCTTGATTATGACATGCTGTGCTTTGAAGAAGCTGCAGGTATCTCCAAGGCTCAGCACAACAAAGAACCAACCCATGGTCTCATTAGCTGTGGATGGGGGCGCATCCTATCATACTGAGTCACTGCAAGGCTCAGTGAGTGAATCTTGCCAGAATAAAAAAAAAAAGGTAATTTGCTGTCTGCATTTGTTCAGAACATGCAACCCCAAACAGATTGGAAAAATACTAGAGAGAAAGCTAGCATAGAAGATGAGAAATCCATTGTGTGGCACACTTGAGAGAGTCTGGCTTGTAATTTATCAGGAGTCTTTAAGAACTTTCTAATCTAATCCTGCAGTGTAGTCCTTCCATCAGAAAAGCCTGTGGTTCCACCTGGTCCCAAAAGGCAACCTACCCTGAAGCGGCATGAGTCTATATATGACACTTCAAACGTCTATGGCATCTCAGGTAGGTATCCAGAGGCACTAAAACTTAGCTTGCTTTGTGTGAGTTGCTTTTTCCTTGAGAGCTCTCTCACGACTTTGCTTAGGAGCAGAGATTGCTACTTTTTCAGAACCTGTCTTGCACAGACTCTTGGGCTGCTCTTGCTTTCATAGGAAAATGGCAAAACAGCATTGTGATTGAGTGGAGCATTTTGCCCTGTAGATGAGGGGTGGCAAATGTTTCCTTGTCCTTTACACTGTCACATGAATAACCTAACTCTTTTTCTCCCTCTTAGCCATGGATGGAGTGCCCTTCACCCTGCACCCCAAGTTTGAGAGCAGCATCTCCAAGGGCACAAATGTAAGAATTAGTCTCGATTCCAAGTGTGTTGTCAGTACTGTAGGATCTGCCTTTAAGGGAAGATGGGAGTGGTAATCAGAACTTGTTTTCCAGAGGTGGTAAGAGTTTTTAGTTGTGCCAATATTGGTTTTGAGGTGAGGTATTGGGAAATTAAGATGTGGTGAGGCAAAAATAATTGCTTTGTTTGCTCTTTATTTTCTAGGCCTATTCTCTCTTTAAAAGCTTGCATATCAAATCTCTTGCCGATATTGAGAAAGAGGTAAGCAGCAGTTGAGGCTTTTCAATGTACTTATTAAGCTGTCCTTAAGAGAAATTTTGAGACTATCATTCCTGTGTTGTCTACTCTAGAGTTGTGTGATGTGATTTATAAAGGCTGTTTTGTTTTGCTTTCAGTACAACTATGGCTTTGTCGTCGAAAGAACTGCTGCTGCTAGACTCCCCCCCAGCATCTCCTAGCATCAGTAATTTGTTTGACAGTGTGCCTTTTTGCTATCGGGACTCCTAGCCCATTCACCACATAGGTGTTCTTTAAAAAGAAATAACTAGCAGGTGTATTACTTTAGCAGCTCAAGTTTGTAAATATAATCTTGCCTGACGGCAGCTAATGCTACCCCCTGTACTGTATTTCTTGCTGATAAGTATCAAACTTCTGTACAGTGTATATGTTTTACTTTCTATGCAAAGCACTACTTTTATGAGCAGATTTTAGCTTTACCTTTAAAAATATTAATGGCCTTTCTGAGTAGGCTGCCTCGTATATAATGAAAGTATGACTTCCATAGAAATACAACACTAATTTTAACTGAAAGTGAAATGAGAAGACTTCCAGCCCCAAACTCCCAGGATGTTGAATTGGGCACAATAGGAAAGGATTTTACCACAAAGAAAACTCCAGCCATATTTCAAAATGCATTGATTGCCATTTAATTACCAAATCCCATGACCACCTTTTGAGGAGTGTAGGGGTAGTATAAAAGTCAGTAGGTGCTGTCATGTCTGGGAAACAGGTGGAGCTTGGTGTAGCCCCCGGGGCATCGCCTTTGTTGTGGTTTCCAAAACAGCACAATGGGGAAGTCACCTGCCAGTACCAAACTGGAGTAAGAGATGGCTGTCCAAAGAATAAATATTCTTCTTGCAAAACTGTACAGTGGCTGTTCCTTTTTTGGCCAGGGATCTGTTCATTTCAAGAAGGCACTCTGAGCTTTGTGCTGCCAAGAAGAAACTGTAGGATTCTGTCTACAAGTAGGGCAGTGACAAAGTTTGCCAGAAGAACTTGAGTGATCACCATCTTGAACTACAATAGAAGGATAAAAAACCATGAATGTTTCCCAATAGCAACATTTATTCCACTACACTTTTTGGTGACTCGCCAAAAATAATTATCTTGAGCCGAACTGAAATTGTGCCACTACGTAAGGAAGCAACTTAAATAAGCTGGATTTGTGAACATATTCATGACTGGTTGGAAATATTGCATTGAGACCAAGTACAAAGTACATGTTTGCCACTTAATAGCTCACAATAGGGACACCAGTTCTTCAGCTATTGCTGAACTACAACACTGCCAACATCACTATTTTGCGGGGGGGGGGGCACAAAAAAGGTACATGTTCAGTTCTAGTTGTTATTCCTTTTGAGTACAGTTATCAGGTATCACATTTTAAGATATATGCATTTCCTTGAGTCACTCAGGGACGATGAGAGTTGCAGCCAAAACATCCGGAGGGCACCAGGTCAGAGAAGGCTGATCTAGGCTCTCCCTGGTTAAGATGCACACTGCTAGCTACTTGCCAGCTGAACACACATTTCTGAAACTCCCCAGTAGAAAAAACCCCCTAAACACATTCCCCAAGTAAAGACCTAGGAAGGATCCTGCCTACTCACCTCTGTTGGGATGTCTACCAGTCCAAACTGTTCATTGAACTCGGGAGAGGAACCTGTCAAAAGGGCTACAATGGCCAGCCCAGAGAGAATGATGCTCCACAGCAGAGGTTTGTTTTCCCGCAGGCTTTCCATGAATGGATGACCCTTGAGCAACAAAGACAAGGATGGAAAGGGCAGTCAAGAACCAGATTGAAGGTATCACCAACCCAAATACTACCACCCCAAATAGTCGTTTTTTGTCTTCAACATACATGCATCTGGAGACTGGTTGCATGTTGCAGGCCAAAATATCAATGTCTATTGGCTAGCCATTTATTTCATTAGCAAGATTTTTGTGAGGTTGAAGTTGATTTTAATCTCTCCTAGGCTGGGTGGTGGTGGGATTGGAACCAAAGACATGGTCTGCTCAATCCAGGGCCCTGTTGATGGTGGGTAGAAGAGCACTTGCACGCCTGTTCTTTTTTTTAAAAAAAAACAGCAACCACAACTATTTCCATCTCATCAGGGAGGAAAATGAATGGTAATAATGCCAGCTCCTGGGCTGAGTTTATTTCTTGGTCCAGGGGCATGTTGGAAGACTGGGAAGGCAATAGATCCTTTGGATTCATTGCCTCCCCCTGGTACATCCACTTTTATTTCCAGGGACAAGAGGGTTGCAGGAAATATGTGTATGTCAGAAAGCAGTCCTGGTATTTATTGGAGCACAGTTGGTCTCAAGTAATGGATTTCACAGGACTTAAATGCAAATGTTTGGCTTAAGTAGTTTCCTTTGTACTCAAGCTTATCCCAGCCATATGAGCAATTGCCAAAAAAGGTCTGGCTCTCTTTGAACCTCTCTTCTGCCCCCACCAATAAAATGAAAATATTTAGTACTTCTCATAGTAGGGCACCCTGAAGAACTCAAAGTAGAGCATCAGATCATCTAATCCGCTTGCAACATGCAGACTATTCAAACTAATCTACACAGACAAAGAGTTTCAGTACTTGGCCTGGCAAAACTTTCTAGCACTCCTTGTTCCACATGGCTTCACACTCCCTTTGAGATCCCTGGCCACCAGCATCTGGCAGAATGGCCTTCAAATGGAGAATTAGGCTCCAGCATGACAGGTACCAAGTGAAGCAGGGAAATAAATTACAGCACACCCTAGAGAGCTAAAAAAACTGAGCACACCTCACCTTATAGTTGATGGCAAATGTTGCCATCTGCATGGCCATGGACATGATGTAAACCGTGCTGTTCACCAAACTGGGTTCAAACTCTTTATAGAGATCTACAAAATCATCTTTCCTTAAAAGAAACAGAGAAAGGCCCTTGACAATTTGACTCCTTAAAATTCAAGTTATTGTCCTAGGAAGTGTAGGGTCACATGGTAACCAAACAGCAGCGCCAGCTGGCTACTGAGCCTCCACCTCCCATTTCCTTCCCTGCCTTGACTTGGGACACAGTATTTCTACACTTCTGCTTCTCATTTCCTTGGCTTTTCATTCTTATTTTGTCAGCTCTTGGGTTTCTTGCTATTCCGTTTTCGTCTCCAAACAGAACTATTCTGTCCTTTCTCCCTCTGGTGTGTTGGATGCTGTTCATGGGAAAGACTTGTGGGAGAAGACCAACATTGTTAGAAATAAAACAGAGACCAGCTCCCAGGCCTTCCTCAGCAGTCTCCTTCACCAATTCCCCAGCAGAACAGGTGACTGTGCCCTTTGCCCCCTGAGCGCGCCTGGGCATGCAGCACATCCCCATTTTTAAAACATGTCCTGTCTGACAGTGGCACTGACTCTCTTGGGGAAGGGGAGCGTCCCTATACAGTGCCACTCTGATCACCACTTGATACACAGAGAGAAGGTTTGTGGCAAGTCTGGGGAGGGAGTGGCTATTCTGTAACCATTTTCTGTGTGCCAACAATACACGCCTCCATCGTGGATGAACTATTTACTGGCACCTCCTGCCGCCAGAGGGTGCAGCTGTGGCCCACCTCCGAGAGTGCTCAAGAGTTGAGCAACAGTTGGGCCCAGACCTAGAAGGCTGTTCCTAAGCCTGACAGCTGTTCAACCAACAACGCAGTCATCCTTACTGGCGCACAGAGATAGGTGCCAGTTTTATCTTCATCAAGGAGTTTTGGTTGACTTCAGCCCTACATCTGTCCACTCAGACCAGAGGGGTAAACAAGCTCATGAGTTGGCATCCCACCCCCCACCCCCCGCTACTCTAAAAAAACCCAAGGAAATCAAAAACCTGCTTTGTGTAGTAAGACACCTACAAGCATGCTACAAGTCCCAGAACTATCTGGCCACTCCTCAGGAGACTTAATGGAGGACTCCCCTAACCCTCGTGTTCTCCCAGGGGCCGGTTGTGCAAGGTGGAAGGACTGGGGCTGATGGAACCCTTTGGCTATCTCTCCTCCTCCTTTACAGGACCCTTTTCCAGGGCTTCTCTGAGGAAGGACCATGGATGGATGCAAGGGGACAGCTCTGATTGTCCTAGGACAGTGATCGTGTTAACCCACAGTTTCATGGATGTCTCTTGCATTCACACCTGCCCTGGGAAGAGTGTTCATGTTAAGGGAGCAACATTCCTTCTGGCCCATATATTCCAGCCTGCCGATACCAATTCCACTGTGAGCAATATCCTTTCACATTTTCATAGTTCCAAGCTTAAATCCAAGCAGCACTCACTTGGGGTCACTGCGGGCCTGTGCACCTCGATACAGATAAACCAAGCTGACAAAGTGAACCATGAACTGCAGCAGCACTGTAAGAACTGTGTAGAGGTTGAAGATATTAGGGAGTGGACGCTCCCGGGAGAGGGTCTTCAGAGGCTGGAAATAAGAAGAAAAGGGGTCAGGACCAGGCAGCCACAAGCCGCCCTGAATGGCTGGGGCAACCCAATCAGAAGGGTGGGGTACGAATAATAAATGTTATTAGCAGCAGCAGCAGCTGTCCTGGGTTTGTGAGCCAGCTGCATTCTCTTGCAAATATTTGGGAAGCAGTCCATGTTGAACCCTGCACACACCAACCACTTTGGAAAGTGGTCTCAAAGAAAGAAAAAAGTATGTCAATGTGGCAAGGCAGACCAATTTTGAAAGTTGCTTTAAAACAGGGGTGTCAAACTCAAATTCATCGGGGGCCGCATCAGCAGTTTGGTCACCCTCAAAGGGCCGGTTGTATCTGTAGGGAGGGCTGTAGAGTGAGTTTTTCTTTGCTTTGAACTAAAGGCACCCTTTATCAAAGTTATTTTCCCTTAGGCACTGGTGTGTGTTGTCTTGAATCTATATACACTATTTAATATACCTATTCCAGTACGATTTTAAATAAGAATAGAAGAAGAAATAATAATGATTTTTTAAAAAGATGACGAGATGGGCTTCCACGCAGACTGGAGCTCCAATGGGGAGGAGACAGGAGCCTGTCCCAACAGAGCAGAGCAGAAGCAAATGTTGCCTCCCCCCGCCCTGCCGCCGCACTCAGGAGTCGGAGGATACGGAGCTGCAGTTTGGACAGCAGCAGTTTCTTCCTTGCAAGGGAGCCCCAGCGGCACTGCGGGTGGCCAGGATGTCCTGCTGGGGCCCTGAGCTGCTGCAGTTGCTCCCGGGGAGGGGGCTAGTATTTGCTCCCGGGGAGGGGGCGGTATTTCGTAGCCAGGCTCCCGCAGCCAAGTTGCTGGCAGGCGCCCACTTTGCTCCAGCCACCCAGATGCCGGCGCGGTCCTCTTCGGGGTGGGAGGCGCCCCTGCTTTGCGGTGTGGCACACCGCCCCCCCCCCGCCCGGCTCCCTCCACCCCACTCTGCGCAGCTGAACCGGCAGCAGCTTCGCCTCTCCCAGCCCAGCCAGGGCGAGCCGCCTGCGGCAGGACCTGCGCCGGGTCCCCGCTCTCCACTCGCCTCCGCTGTTCCCTTCCCCGCCTGCCGGCCCTGCTACTTACCCACCAGGGTGACCCCCAGACAGCCCCTGGCCCCACCGCCCGCGCCCCGGCCATCTCCTCGCCAGCTGCAGCGCCGCAGTGGCCTCTTCTTGCGGCCCGAGCGAGTGAGTGAGCGGCGTCCCAAGTGTGGCTCTCGCTCCCTGCCCTCGCTGCCAGCCTCCACGGCTCTCTCGGGCTCCAAAAGTTGCCCCGCGCGCGACCCGCCCCATCGAGCAGCCGCGCCTGGGAGGCTCCGAGGGGCGGAGGCAGCCGGCTCCGAGCTCGGCTTCGCGTGACCGCCTCCTCCGCAGCGAGCCCCGGACTGGACCGAGCGAGCAGAAAGCCTCTTTGCCCGGCCCGCAAGGCAGGTGAAAGTTGCGGGAATGGTCGGTAGGCAGCGCTGACGGGGTGCGTCGGTTGGAGCCCTGTCTGCAAGCAGGCAGGGAAGGCTGTTCGCGTGGGTCACTTTTTAGAAAGGCAGAGAGCCTCCGCCGGAGTGCGGACCCTAAAATCTGGGTTGGGACCAGTAAAAAGGACGAGAGGCTCGCTTCCTCGCCCTTGATGCCATGGGCCACATGACGAGGTCTGGCGGGCCGGATTCGGCCCGCGGACCTTGTGTTTGGCACCCGTGCTTTAAAACATGGAAGGGCTGTAAGGAAAGAGTGCAAATGACGAAAAGGGTAGAACGGCCTTTTCTGGGCAGAGGAAGTGATGGCCGCCTCATCACCTTTCTTACCTTCGACCGGGAGATGAAAAGGAAGCAGCCAGCCAGCAGCAGCCCCTGCAATGTAGCCTGGAAATCACTGAACTTGACCCCTTCCAAGTAAAGGACACTCTGGCTGTAGGCCAAGATTAGTGCGTTCAGAGCCAAGATCTTGAACATCTGGAGCGTGGTGACCAGAGTGCAGCGGCCCTGCTTGATCACATGGCAGACTGGAGGAGCAAATAACATTTTGCTTGCATGAGATGTACTAGTTGCCCTTCCCTCTTAGATCTACACGGCTGGAGTATCTGTGAAGGAAAAGCCCAGAAAGGCTGGCAGAAGGCCAGTTCCAGCCCTGCTCTGGGCACTCAGTCAATGAAACCTTCTCTAGTGGATTGGCTTGGGTTGCTCTGGAGGCCACAAACTGGAAATCAAATTAAAAAACTGGGTGGGGCAGGACTCAGAAGAGCTGTTTCATGCTTTCCCAGCCCCTTCCCATACACAGTGCCAGACTAATATTGCACTTCACCTCTTACAGAGCAAACATAAAACGTGCATAGTTTAAAGATTCCATGCACACAAACAGTGCAAAAAAAGAGGCTCAATGGTTGCATTTACATGCAAAACATGCCTGGAGGTGTCCCCATCCTTCAGAGTTGGTCCAAGTACTTCCTTACCCAAACAAGTTCTCTCCCCTCCCTACTTACTGCACTGAATTGAGGACAGCTTGGAGGTGAAAGGAGCCGCAATGCTGGCATCACCCAACTTCACAATGGGGACTTGCTCCTCCTCCAGATCCTTCAGCACCTGGCTAATTCTCTCCTGTTAGGAAGAAAGGGGGCGGGGGGACAGGAGACATGCGGTTTAATCCACAGCAAGGCTATCCTCAGAGATACATTCCAAATGCCAACCTTACAAAGCCAGTCACTAGGAAAAGGAAAGAGGACACGAAGAGGACAGAGTTGCTTGGTTCATGGTCACTGGAATTTTATTATTTTTTAAATCTAGGTCAGACTAAGGACAAGGCCAGCTTCCATTCACCCTAGTGACTTTTCTTCCAGCATACAATGGGTGCAGGGGCAGAGCCAAGTGTCTCTCTCCCTGTAACCTCTTGGAATTTCACAAAGGAAAAAGTCCTGAAGCACAAAGGAGTCCAATATGGGGGGAGGAAGGAGAACCCAGCAACTTACCCGCTGCATGGCAAGCTGCTCTTCTCTGTGCAACATAACCCTGTGCTTGGCAGCCCGGGAGGTGGGCCTCATGTTGCTCCCAACCAGGGAGGGGGGCAAAGCAGGTCTCCCGTCAGCAGGGCCATCGCGGGGCGGCCTCTTCCTGCGCTCAGGAATTCGTTCAGGTGCATTGGCCAGTAGAGCCACTCCTGCAAGAACAAGTCAGATCACAGAAGATATTGGGAGGTGTCTGGCAAGCTGCTTTCAGAACAGAAAAGTTTAGGCAGTTCCCTTGTTCCGCATCCCAACTGGATAGGAAGGAGGCTTTTTAGAGGAGAGGGTAGCAAGAAAAGTTTTACTATGACACCTGCAAAATTGATTAGTAGGCTGAGTATATGTTGCTCAAAGCACACAGAAGCTGTAAGATGAAGAGGTAGCCAGAGTACAGAAAAACTTGTTAAAGAGGCATTTTCTTTTGCAAGAGGTGGGAGAAATGCCTCATAAACTGAAGATTGCCATCCATGCCTGGCTTATGTAAGCTTGTCCATTAAATATTCATTCTTAAAAATCCGAAATTCAATTAATCAGTGGCACTTTTTGATCAGAATAAACACTCACCCACATCAGCATGCTTCAGAGCTCCCACATCATTGGTCCCATCCCCACACATCAGCGTCACGTAGCCAAGCCCCTTCAGTGTTGTGATAACAAACTCCTGCAATGAGAAAACAGAGTGAGGAAGAGGGCCTGCCACCCTCTGCTCAAATCCATGCCATCAAAGAGATTGCTTCTCTTCACCCAAACATGTAGACTCTTGTGAGTTGACTACATGTCAGCATCCTCTTTCAATGGGAAGGTAAGGGAGCCCATTTGGCAGCAGACAAAATCATTTCCATGACTCCACTAAGCTTATGCATGTGGGAAAATGATTGCTTGTACATAAGAGCATGAGCAGAGTTCTTATTATTGCAGAGTGATTTTACAGCACGAGATATTGCTAAGAGCATGATGAGCACGTTAACACCTCATGCTAGACTAATGATTGGCTCACGTAGAATAACACTCTCTTTGTCTGTGGGCAAAAGCAAGGTTACATTCCTTTGATTTGGTACTTTTGAGTACCAGGCAGAGCAAGCGCAGTGCTGGAGGAGGGAGGATGATCTATTTTTTACTGCACACAATAAACATTGCACGGCTGAAGCCAAAGCTTTTTCTTCAAGTCATCTTGGTGTGAGACTGATTTCTTACTGATCTTCCTACTGATGTCGAGCTGGATTCTCGACATTTGGTGCCCCGTGTGACTACCTTCGGACTCCACGTTGTTTCTCATCGTTCAGCGCTCACCACACGTCTTTCATCCGCTATGGATCCCGGTGAGTGCTCCCTTGGTACCCCGTGTGTTTGATTCTGGACTTCGCGACGTTGCGGACTTATCAGCGCTCACCACGCCCGGCAAGGGTTCCAGACGCGTCCTTCATCCTTTTTTAGGATCCCGGTGAGTGCTCCCTTATTTTTGCCATTATGGGGCAGTCTCTCTCTCCACCACAGAAAAAGTTTTTTGAAGACCTTAAATTTCTCTTGGCCAGCAACAGCCTCATTGTCTCAGATGCTGATATCGTGTCTCTTATAGAAGCATTGGATATTCACTGTCCCTGGTTTCCTCAGAATGGGAATTATCATTTAAAAGACTGGGAAAAAATAGGACAATTTTTCCAAAACCATCCTCAGATTGATGTCAAAGTTTTGCATGCCTGCTGTAAGGTTTATAAGGCTATCTCAAGCCTAACTCCTACAAATCTCCTCCTGGCCGCTGCTTCAGCTCCTTTGCCCCCCCTCCCAATCCTCATGCTGCCTTCAGAAGCACCGTTTTATCAGCCTCCTAAACAGGCAGACATTTTTCCTCCTTCGGCTTCTGTCGTCCCTCCTCCGCATTCTTCGCTTCCTGCGCCTCCCGTTACTACTCCTCTCCAAGAATCTCTCCGTGCCGCTGCTCCGTTGCTAGCTTTTGATTCTACAACTTCTAATCTTTTTCCTGTGAGTGTTCCTCCCGCCCTGGGGGGAGGCCCAGCCAGGCACGAACAGTTTGATTTGAGATTCATAAAGGAACTGTATTCTTCTGTCAAGGACAATGGCCCTACACCCCCAGCCCCCGTCATGCTGACCCAAACTGATGTTCTCGATGGGCTGACGGGAGGAGGCAATTTTCTTCCTATTGCCCAACAGTTGGCCCTTGATCCTATGTATTGGGCAGCCACCACAGCCTCAGCCCAAGAGACTCTGGCCTCTGTCCCTGATGACAAGACTGAGCGCAATGGCCGGTGGGGAAGCATCAGACAGGGTCCTGCAAAGCCCTATGGACAATTTGTCGATCGCTTGTATAATACCTTCAAGCGGCAAGTTCAGGACCTGGCAGCACAAGAACTGATTGTACGCCAGCTTGCGTTTGATCATGCACATGAGGACTCTAAGCAAGTGCTGCGCCCTTTGATGGCAACATCAAATATAGCCATTGCAGATATGCTTAAAGCCTGCCAGTCAGTGGGCACTGAGATGCATAAAGCTCGCCTGCTAGCCGCAGCTCTGCCCTCCACAATGTCCCAAAATCCTGCAAAGGATAAAACCTGTTGGATTGACAGTGGCTAAGGAAAAAATCCAGCGGACCTTACCTATTGCGTGCCTGGGACACAAGCTGACAGCATCTGCTGCCATTTCAGTTACGCCTCAACTACAGTTTCCTGATCATCTTAAACTGGTGGATTTACAACAAATTCTTGGACAGCTGAATTGGATAAAGAGTTATTTGGACCTGCCCACCTCCACTTTGTTTCCACTATTTTCTGCCCTTAAAGGACATAAGGATCCAGCGGACAAGATCACAGTCACCTCTGCAATGGAAGAGGCTCTTCCACAGCTGTTCCAGTGTTTCCTGGCACGCTGAAAGACCATCTTCATCCCTACTGCATTGGCCCCACTTTTCCCTGGGAAGCCACTTCAACCACCAAACATCATTACAGTTTTGCTGCCTCCTAATAGCAACCATCCCATCTGTGTCACCACGCTTCATTGGGCTTGGACTTTTGACTCAGCAGTACAAGGAGCAATACATCAGACTTATTTACAGCAAATGGGCTCCTGTATCTGCAGAAATGGTTGTGTAACTTCTTTTTCTGGATTGTGGGTTTTACATGCCAATAATCGAGCCATGAAATATCACACAGATTGCTCGGAAGTGGCCATTGGAATAATTTACCATTCTCATCCTTATTGGCATCACTTGGATTTTACCCCCCAGATATTTTTGTTTCTCCTCCCTCAGGAGTCCTGCCCTATGATGTGTTCCTCTGAGCATGTACAGAGGGCTGTCTTGGAACTATTGTGGACTCTTGGCAAGGGAGGGGGTGAGGGGATTTCAGTGTGTTCCAGTTGTTTCATTTTTGTGCTTTGGCATGGTTCCCGGACAGAAAGAAAGTTGCAATATGGTTCTTTAACAAGGTCTACGAAGACAATGGGCTCTGTTCTTGACCTTGTTGCAATCTTTTTAGTTACAGCAAGTGGAATATGCTTGAAAAAAATATATGCTTGGCTAGTGCCTTTAGCTGCTGAGAAAAATGATTTTAAAAAGCTTCTCAAAGCTTTGAACCTTTTTTTTGGTGGTGGTATTCTGGTATTCCAGTTAATGCTTCATTTAAGATTAGCAATAATATGAAGGATAATCGTATAAGTTCACCCCCTGTTTTTTTTGTCGCTTGCAGAAATAGTGTCTTATTGTTTTCGTTTCAATCATAAAAAATTTTTAGGTCATTATCCATATTGTAATTGGACCTATGAGTATTTTGATGGATTTTTTTGTTTTTTATTTTTTTTAATATTACCACTATGAGTGATAGACCGAAAGTCTCAGTTAATAATGTCACAACCTACATGACCTATGAACAACAGGCTGCGTGTAGAGATTTTTATGTTTGGTTCAACTGGATGAGAATGAGCAGTAAATCTACATATTTGCTTCAATCTGATTTATGGTTATTCTGTGGCAAATTGGACCGAAGCTTTGTTTTTAATTCTATCATCTTTGTTTTAAAAATAATTAACAAACAAACAAACAAAAAAAAGTCAGAAATGAGAGAAGTTGCTTTATAAACTTTTTATGCTTTAAATGTAATCCTTGCCTCTAAAGGTGGAATTTATGCCTTAATTCATTCTCATTGTTGTATGTATATTTCTGCTACTATTGATTATATGGAACAAATGATAACCCATAATCCTTTGAATCCGCCTGAAGGTTTTGATCCATGGGACTGGTTATTTTTTTGGTTACCTAATGGATTATGGTTAAGAAATTTATTATTGATTGTAATTGCATGTATTGTTGGTTTTATTATGTAATCAATGCTTGCTTTCTTTGATTTCCCAATATATTGCATGGTGGTTCCGACCAAGGCCCACCACAGGGATTACAAGGGGAATTTATGTTGCAAAATATAAATGCTTAGGTAATGGGATTGCAATTCTGATTAATGGTCCCTCTTATAATATAAACAAGAAAAGAGGGCATGTGGGAAAATGATTGCTTGTACATAAGAGCATGAGCAGAGTTCTTATTATTGCAGAGTGATTTTACAGCACGAGATATTGCTAAGAGCATGATGAGCACGTTAACACCTCATGCTAGACTAATGATTGGCTCACGTAGAATAACACTCTCTTTGTCTGTGGGCAAAAGCAAGGTTACATTCCTTTGATTTGGTACTTTTGAGTACCAGGCAGAGCAAGCGCAGTGCTGGAGGAGGGAGGATGATCTATTTTTTACTGCACACAATAAACATTGCACGGCTGAAGCCAAAGCTTTTTCTTCAAGTCATCTTGGTGTGAGACTGATTTCTTACTGATCTTCCTACTGATGTCGAGCTGGATTCTCGACATATGCATTTGATGGCAAGAGTCAAGTGATAAAAAACAAGTACAGGGACATCTGGTGCTTGTGGTAAAAGAGGCAGCCCACTTCTAGTTAGACCAAAGAGGCAAGTGAAAGTCTGGATGTTCTTATACTAGCAGAAGTTGCTCTGATAAAAGGATATTATTATTTCCATTTAATTTTTTATTTGTACAGCTGTGCCCAGGATTTTGACTCCAAGGCACTTGCTACTCCTGCAACATTCCACCTCTGAGGTAGATTTGACTAAGAGGCAGTGACTGGGCTCCAGGCCACTCCAAGAGCACAATGGCAGATACAGGATGCAAACTCTTCAAAGATGGTGCTATATGCCAGGTTGTAGGCTGTCCATTTGTTCCACTGAGCCAGGGACAATCCAAACACCTGCTGCTCTTTTACTACTAGTGGATGAGAGAAACATGCCCCCCCTGGATCCTTGGGCTGCTGGCCACAAGGGCCTGAAGAACGTTGCGGTGAGGAAGCACCTCTCACCTTCTGCTTGGGTGCAACTCGCGCGAAGACCTGCACATGTGGAATGAGCCGAAGCAGCAGCTGGGCATCTGTGGCCTGCAGCTGAGAGAGCCCCTCTCCTGTGACACACAGGTTGTGGTCCCTGGTCAGCTCCTGTAGGGAATCTGGGACGATGGGGAGAGTGACGGTGCCGCTGATGGACTGCCACTGCCAGCTGCAATCTGGAATAGAGGGTTTGATTAAGGGGGAGCATGAGGAGGGGCTGCCTGCTTTGCAGAACCAGCCCAGGGAAGAGAGCTATCCTGGGCTCCACCATCCCAAATTCCCCCCCTCCATGTACACTCAACAAGCCTCCCCCCCCCCCCCCGGCACACGTCCCTTCCACTACCTATTAACCATTTGCAGCTGCTTCCAGAGTCTCCATCACATTTCTCACACTGCATTTCTACACCATACATAGCTCGTAGTAGTAAACTGACCCCCCTGTGCTAACCAGGGCAAGACCTTTCACCAGCACCTTCAGAAAGCTGAATTATACACTGTGTACCATGTTCTGTACTATTCCTATGCTTTTGCAGCATCACAGAATCCTAGCCATGTGCTGCTGCCTTGTGGTGCTCTCGATGATTATCTGCTCCACCCTGACCACGTCCACCTGCCTCCCCCAGCCTCTCTACCTTTGTCACAGGGCGGCTGCAGGATGAGCGTCTGCTCCTTCTGGGTGAAGTGCAGCTCTTGGGCCACGTGGCAGGCAGTCAAGGGGTTGTCGCCTGTTATCATCACTACCTGAGAAGAAGTAAATGGCAGCATCAAGGGACATTTTCCTAAGCAGGGACTGGAGATGCAATGCACATGTGCCACACAGACCTGGATCAGGGGGGCTGGAAAAAGCTTTAAAAAACTGTTTTGCATATCACAAAATTAGTGTTACATTGTACCTCAAAGCATGTTCTCTTCTAAAATGTCTGTGCGTGTGTGGTTTCTGAAACATCTTTTGCTGGAGGAAACAAACCTCCAGCAAAATATGGAGGAAACAAATATTTTGCTGGAGGAAAGAAACCTCTTTCTGTACAATAGGGAAGATCATAGCACATTCCCTTGTCTTGGCCAACTTTCCACCACCAGCGATATCGCAAGCCCAACAACTGTTACAATAAGAGCCATTTGACACATCCCTCCATCTTTCAAACCTCTCCACTGTCCCCCTCAGCCCCAATAATTATCTCTATTCCATCCCCAGAAGTGCAGTATACCTTCCCACCTGATGGGGGTGGGGTGGGGAATACTTCATTTGCATGAAGGATAGTCTGCTTCTTCTCCTCTCTAGCCTACCCCCCCCCCGAAACACAGTGGGGAGCTCTCTCATCCTGGAATGGTCCTTTAGCTACAAGCACTAAATGAAACCTTCCAGGATGTCTTGGGGAGCAACTGGCAGGGGTGTCTCCTGCCATCTCAGCCAGCCTAGAGGGGTGCCAGAGGCATCTAAGAGGCTCAGGTGAAACAGGATGCTGGGCTAGTCAGGCTTTTGATCTAACCCACCCGGGCTCTTATTATGTTTCAGATTCTTATCTTTTCTGCAGCAGTGCCTCTCTGGAGCACCATCCTAGCTTATCAACTTATGTGAACATGAGTGTGAAGAGTTTTTTTCCCTGCAAGCATAGGACATCTCCAATCTCCCAAGCAGAGGATTCTTAAAGAGTGTGGAGGAGGGAAACATCATTCTTGTACACCTTGGCATTATGCTCAAATCTTTGCCTTGGGATTTGCTGTGCATGGGGAAGGGCTGATCACAATGAGACAAGAGGACTTTTGTTCAAAACGGCAGCAAATGGGAAACAAAGACTCTGGACAAGTGGGGGGAGGAGGAGGAGGAGGAGGAGGAGGAGCAGGGACAGAAATAGGAAAGCAGGTGGGACTGTGCAGGCCAGTTCCTCAGCTTGCCTAGGACTCCCATGTCTCCGTCTTCCACTACATCTCAGCCAGCAGGCATGCTTTTTCACTCACATGATGCGAGGCATTGAGGATTTCACGGATGACAGGCTTGGAGTCCACTTTAAGGGGGCACGAGACCACGATGAAGCCCATGAATCGCAGGTCACACTCAAGCAACTCTCGTTTCATCTCTCGTGCCTTCAGATGAGAGGGAGAACAAAGATCAGCGCTTTGTCCAACTGAATATTTAGATGCCCCACATGAAGAATCTCCCATAGAAATTCACACCCCGATTCTAGGAGCAACCCTCAGACTGCGGACAACATTGGGATTGCCTGGTAAACTTTCTAGTCCATACCTCACATGGCAATCCGACATGTCAAAGAGCATCCAGGTCTCACCTGGAATCCTGCTTTGCGAAGGTGGTGTGCTGGAGACCATTGACTAAGTTCCCCCCATGCTTGTGCTAAGTCAGAAATCCTTGCCCACTTAAATAGCACCTGCTCTGGCACAGATGAGCGTCATGGAAAATCCAGCCCCCCTGCCCAGGGCAGCCCATTCCAACCAACTTGCCAACGAGTCAGCAGACTTCCTTTTCCACTGGGCTTGATCAGTTTACTCCGCCCAAATCTTTTTGCTCACCTCTTCTCACTCTGCATAACCACAAACTCTCCAGTCCAATCGTCATCTTCTCTCACATCAACTCTCTCCACCACACACAGAAACTCATTCATTGTCCACCAACTCCCTGAGTTTCCTCCCATCTCTCTGCCTTCTGCCCTGGTGGCCAGCTATGCCCCTTCCTCTAAAGTCATAAAGGCTTTTCCCTTCCACATTGCAGTTACTGGGCTGGGGGGGGGGTGTCTTTGCTAAAAAACCCACATTGACATGGCCTTCCACTCATCCTCATCTGTCAGTTTCTAACTTCTCCCTCTAGGCTGCCTTGTGCATTTATTTTGGACTGTAAACCCTTTGGCCAGGTCACTTGTGCACTCAGAACAGTGTGGCAGCTGCCACACTTCAGAAGCAGACTTCTAGCCAGGCTGCACAGATTGACCTTGCCATGTGAAAAGCAACCCTCTTGTGCTTTGTCAGAACTCTGAATGCTCCTCTCTACCCCGCAAAAGGAAGGAAGAGGCGTTCAAGGCCAACCATGGGCAAGGGGCCAGTGTGGGCTGGTTTTATCCTTCAGTTTATCTCTAGCACAACTAACTTTACCCATAAGAGAGGCCACAATCTGGCACATACAGAGGCACCTCCCACAGCAAGAGGGTTCCGACAGAGCATGTGGAAGGTGTCGCCTGTGCAGGCCAAAGCCTACCTGCTGATGCGTGAGGTGTCCCAATTCCTTGTAGCCGAGTGCCAGGACCCTGGCTCCCTCGCGTGAGATCTCTGTGTGGATACTGTTGTAGCTACTGGGGCACTGAGAGAACTGCACGAGAAAAGAGAGGGGCAAAGAGGGACAGTCACAAAAGAATGTGAAGGCAGAGGAAAGAAGCCCCCCGCCCTGAGCACGTCTCCTTGTGAGCCACAAAGCACCAGAACAGCAGAGGCTCTGGCAGCCTTGGAGGGTGAAGCTGAAGGTTACCAGGTCCAGGAGAGACAAATGAAAGTACATGGCATTCATTCCCACAAGCTGTAGTAGAGGCTGCCAACTTAGACGGCTTCAACAGAGGCTTAGCTACATGCAGGTAAGGCTGCTAGTTATGGTGGCTCAGCATATCAGTTGCTGTGGAACCTAAGTGGGAACAGCACAGCTGCACTCATCCTGCCCTGCTTGCCATCTTCCCAGAGGCATCTGGTTTGCCAAGGTCAACACAGAATGCTGGACTAGATGGGCTTTTGGACTGATCCAGGTGGCTTCTTGTGTTCTAGCAAAAAAAACCCGACTAAAGTTTAACAACAGCATTGTCAAGCTGCCAAACATTGTTTTGATAATAGAGCACTTCACGAAATCAAAGGCACTCTGGGCATCACGTTTTCAGCTCTGGCCATTTGGCTCCCCACCCCCGACCCCGCTTAGCTGCATGGGCCTTGCTGGCACGCCCTCCTATCTCTGGCATGTTATCTGGCCTCCCCACAATCCAGGGCATAAAATGCTCATCTGCCACTAGGCCAATGTGTGGAAGATTCAAGTACTTCTTTTGGGAAGGTCTTCCAGTCTGTGAGTCGCAAGGCTCCTCTCCGTATCCAATCCTGCTCAGCTCCTAAGCATTCCCTGCCTTGGCACCAGCCCATTTCATGGCTATAACAATAAACCAAGAGATAAAGTCACAGCCATCTCCCTTTGCTCACCATTTTGTGCAGCGTCTCCGGGGCCCCCTTCACAGTTGCAATGTAACACAGATCAGTGGAGCCGACCTTCTCGTAGGAAGCCAAGACCGACATTCTTTTCAGGGCACTGGCAAAATGAAAGCGCTGGTGAATTTTCAGTCCCTGAGTTTTAATACTTCGGGAGAAAACTTTCTCATCTGGAAACAAAGAGATCGGGAAATCCTGAAAGGGTTCAACAGCACCACAAGCAGCAATCCTCCCCTTGGGCTCCTGGGAGTGACAAAGGGGCCCTGAGCCCACAGGATGCATTCCTTAGCAGAACAAGGAAGCCCTGGCTCCCCCAGCAAATTCACAGTCACGGAACATAAAAGGGGTTTCTGGAAACACCGAAGCAGTCAGATGCTGATTCACACCTAGTTCCAAATATTGTGAAAGAAAGTTGCAGGCAAGCTTCGCTCACTCTAGTAGAATTGAAAGGTAAGGGAGCTATGGAAAAAGGCAGGCAGCTCAGAAATGAAGCAAGCCTACCTTTGGTCAGAGTCCATTCCACAGCCGTTAGCATGGCTTTCTCCAGAGGGTCACCCACCAGAGTCCCATCATCCAGCTGCATAAGGGAGTGGCATGTGGCGATGACTCGATGTGTTTCAATAGGAATGTCCGACACAGGGGTCACCTCTTTCCCATCTCTGCAATAGTGGAGATTACACAGAGATCAACTACTCCAGCTGAAGGACAACTACTGACATTAGTAAGACAGAGGATGTGAGAAGGATGCAGATTATTATTACAGTGAACATATAGCAGTTCCAATAACCAATGTGGAAATGAGAATTTGCTAGCGGCTACATGCAAACATTACTTTTACAATCTTCTCTGCCAGGGATGGGGAAGCTGTGGCCCTCCCATTAGCCCAAGCCCAAATGACCGATGATCAGGGGGCTTGGAAGCGAAGCCGAAGGTAGATATCGTGGCTGGATATCTCTATTATTGCCTGAGAACACAGGTGAGGCTTTTGTTTGCTTGTAAGTCTCTTTGGGTGGCCCTGGGCAAGATGAAGTGACTCACAAATAAAATAAAATAATAGTAATAATTTAAAAAGTGAAGAGAGCCCAGATAGCTCTGAACAGCCTCCTTTGGCTCACCCCACCAAGGACCTACCTGAGCCCAGCCACACCTCTCACCACTAGGCTGTCACTGGTCAGGGTGCCCGTTTTATCAAAGCAGCAAATCTGGACCTTCCCTGCAAAGGGGATGCGGAATGGCTCCGTGCAGTAAACATCTTCAAGAAAACAAAGAGAGAGGGAGAGGTCAGCGATCACTACCCCCCTTTTTTTCTACTGGGCCCCACTCATGGTGGTCAAAAATTTAAAATATACCTTCCTTTTTGTGTGAAGGCCTCCTCCATCAATGCCCTCTCTCCAAGCAGAGGAAGAGGAGGCATGTGTGCGCGCGCCTGCACACACATTCACAATTCAAGTGAGGAAAACGACACGGGGGTCTGTACCCAGTGAAGTCACTTTGCTTGTGCAACAGAACTTCCCCTCTCCTTGCATGCCCACTGCCAAATCTGTTCTGGAGGCTTGGGAAAACCCCAAAAACAGTTCTGGGGGGGGGCATATGGGGGGGAGGAGAGGGATGGGCAATTCTGTTGCGCAAGCATAAGTCTTTGTGGCTACTACCCAGTAAGTTTAACAAAAGGACAAACTTGCTTGTGCTCATTTGCGATGCAATTACAAGATAAAGGGTATACCCACCTCTCAGATGGTAAACATGAAACAGTTCTGTTTGGGCATGGACTGAGTGGCCACCGAAGAGAAAGGGTTTATTTTAATAATGAGTTTTTACAAATGCATACTTCTAGGAGGAATAGGGCAACAGAGCCAGTGGTTCTAAGAACTATGGGCTGCTTCACCATGGCAAGAGGAATTCTGCTCTCGGGCCAATGGTCCCAGACATCTCATAGGAGGACACTCAAGTCCATGAGACAGGATGGTAGGCATTCTAAATCAAAACGTGGGGATGAAACCTTATGGTGGGGAGGGGGGAGAGAAGGGAAAGATTAAGCCCCTTGTTCATGTGACCCGAAGTCTATGGGAATCTGAGAGGGGATAAGTGCTGGACAAGACCCCTACATCAAGCCAACTATTATATAAGCAACTTCTTATGTTGCGCTTTGTTTATAAGGCCATAATAGTCAAATATTGTAGAACACAGTATCCTGCAATAAAAATAAAGTTAGCAAACTGCTCAGAACCCGAGGGTAGAACAAGTTGTGAAATAAATAAAACAGGGACACTTCCTAGAAATGCAATCAGGTCAGCAGTTTCACCCCCTGCAATTTCAAAGCCTGCAGCTTCATTTCTTGGTGAGGCTTGGTACTTACACAGTTTGGCGAGAGCAATGAGTGAGGTGTTGACGGCCAGAGAGAGCTCGATGGGGAGTTCAGGTGGGACAACTGAGGTGAGGATTAAAGTGCATTCCAGAAAGAGCTTGTAACGGTTCCTGCTGGGGTCCTTGGTGCCTTGGGAAGGGGAGCAGACACATATTTATGCCATTTTACTGCTGCAAAGTCCACCAATACAATCAGAACGTTTCCCAAACCACATGCTGCGGAATGCCTATGGGCTACAAGAGAACTGCTAGTGTGCCAGGAGAAATTATTTCTTTTTTTTTTTTTTAAAGAGTTGTTTCTTGTGATCTCAGCATCTCCACCCACAGAAAAGGCTGCCAAATCATGTGTACAGGATTTACTGTTCTAGGGGGCAATGGATACATAGCAGGACAGCCCATCATCAAGGAAAAAACCATCTAGGTGAGGCTGCATCCCCGTCAACACTCAGGCAGCCGTATCAAATGTATGCTCCTTCTATGAAACCCCAACCTGTGCCCTCACTGATACTATTTTCTGATCTGTAAGAAACATAGGTTCCAGAAATAAAAAATCACCTTCAACCCACACATACGCTGCCGCTGCAATGGCAAAGACGAGGAGGAAGAGGATGAAGATGAAGGTCTCCAAGTTGTTGGCTGTCACCCGCTTCACACCAAACAGGATGGTACGCAGAAGCTTCCCCTGGGAGGGGGGAAGAGTTGTCAGGGGGGGGCAGCAATAACCTCCCTCAGGAGAAGTGGCAGGAAATGTTTTTAGTTAACTTGAGACAGTGAGAGAGCAATAAAACAAGACTTTTAAGAACTTCTTATTGAGATTCACCTGCCCACTGCAGTTCGGTAAGAAGGACCCTGCTGGCTAAACAGTTTACTCCCTGAAAAATCAGACTGATATATAAAACAGTTGTAGCAAGACTGAAAGCGCCATCCGCTCTTAGGACAGTAGCAAAAGGTTCCCAGGGCTTGCTTCCAAGATTAGCTCTCCTAAGATTAGCTCTCCTAAGTCCTCAGCTCAACACAACCCCCAGTTTACTTAGGAGAGCTTCAAGGGCTATCAGAAGCTCCAGGAAGGCAAACAGAAGTCCCTGGATAATCAAGGGCTCCTGAAGGTGGAGCTAAATATCCAGACAAGTCTTTGTCTCTTTACGTGGCAAGTCAGGTGGATTACTCCCAAGGGTAAAATAAACATGAAAACAGGTTTCTACTATCTCATGTTAAGTACAGTGGTCTGCCCCCTCCTCCCTCGAAGTGCTGTTCTGAGGGTTCTCCTGACACAAACCCCAAACCAATTTTGGGTGACAGTTGTGCAAGCGGAAGCCCAGTGGCTCTCGTTCCTTACCTGAGATGTATTGAAGCCTGTCCTTAGAACATAGGCCACACACCCGTTATCAACCGCTGTGAAGAGGTATAAAGGAAATGGATTACGCAACATGTTGGTATGAAAAAATGAGCAGATGTGCAGTTCTTCCAAAGAAGTCCTTTGGAAATGAACACTTTGGCTTCAGCTGCTACATGGCGCCAGGACAGACCATCAAGAAATGCAGAAGAGCTAAAGCGAAGGAAGGAAGCTGCAACATGCAGAAACCAGCCTAAGCTTACACAGCGCAGAAGACGCAAAGGTGTTGGTAGATCTGTGGTGAATCATAGTGCCTCTCCCTCTCTTCCAGGCTCAGGCAGTTTCTCTTGGATCATGTTTTGAAGGAGTTGTATCTGACTTATAGGGACGCAGGTGGCGCTGTGAGTTAAACCACAGAGCCTAGGACTTGCCAATCAGAAGGTTGGTGGTACGAATCCCCGCGACAGGGTGAGCTCCCGTTGCTCAGTCCTAGCTCCTGCCAACCTAGCAGCGGGAAGGTAAATGGTGTTTCCGTGCACTGCTCTGGTTCGCCAGAAGCGGCTTAGTCATGCTGGCCACATGACCCGGAAGCTGTACGCTGGCTCCCTCGGCCAACAAAGCGAGATGAGCGCCGCAACCCCAGAGTTGGCCACGACTGGACCGAATGGTCAGGAGTCCCTTTACCTGACTTATAGCATTTTCAGCCAACGTTTCCCCTCTCTCTCCCTTTAAAATTGTGTTTTTTAAAAGAATTTTTTATTTATTCTATATTTTTAAATGCCTTCCCAATCTGCATCATACTATAATGAAATCCTATTATTGTCAGAAATGCATATTATTCAAAAGGAATAAATAATATACAATTCTGTAATTAAGGAGTATTTGAGCTACCCCTAATTGTGTAATTTATCCAAGCTTGGCTCTTTTGACTGTATGCTTTTTTATAATGCAAGTTTAATTCTGTCATGTGAATCACTCAGGTAGCTTCTGTTGGAGAAACTGGGCCCTTTTGCTTTTTCTAGCACTAGCTGCTTCACTACCAATGTCTGCATGTCTACTTGATCTCAAAGTTTCACAGTTTCTGAACAGGTATATATCCTCATCTCACAGCTAAAAGTGACGACTTTAAATTCTGCACCAGGGAAATTCTGCCAGAGAAGAAAGGGGAAAGCACAGGTTTCCACGGGTCTTTCCTACTGAGAGATTACCGTATATACTCGTGTATAAGCCAACTTTTTCACCACATTTTTTACGCTGAAAAAGCCCCCTTCGGTTTATACTTGAGTGAGGTGGGCAGCGCGGCGGAGGGACGAGCAATCCAAAAGGAGCCCTTTCTCGCTGCTGGTCCCACCGCCGCCGCCTGCCTCTTGCAAGGGCAGGCACAGGAGCCGCAGTTGGGAGAGGCGCTGCACTGCACCTCTCCCAACCGAAGCTCCTATGCCTGCTCTTGCGAGCAGCGGAGGGACGAGCGGCCCGAAAGGAGCCCTTTTGGGCTGCTCCTTCCTCTTCCTCCGCCTTTGCCACTGTCGGCGGAGGAGGAACGAGCAGCCCAAAAGCAGCCCTTTCAGGCTCCTTGTTCTTCCTCCGCCGCTGCCACCACCACCAGGTTTGTGGTGTGGTGAACCGGTTTATACTCGAGTCAATAATGTGATGAGGCTACATTTTAATATTTTAATGTTTCAATATTTTAATGTTGTATTTTAATTTTGTTTTTAAGTTGTAATCATTCAACTTGTTTTTATTATTGCTTGTAAGCCGCCCTGAGCCCGGCCTTGGCTGGGGAGGGTGGGGTATAAATTATTATTATTATTATTATTATTATTATTATTATTATTAAGTTTTCCCATTTTTTGTGCTAAAATTAGGTGCCTTGGCTTATATTCGGGTCGGCTTATACTCAAGTATATACGGTACCCTTAGTGCTAAAGTTAGCGGGTTTATTATATCAGCAATCAAGCAGCAACTAAACTGTTCAGGGAATGACATTTTAAGAGCTTCCCTGCCATTGATTCAAGCTAGATAGGCATGGACATACGTTTCAGGCCTGTGCTTGCTTTTTGCGGTGGGATGTGCTGTACAACTTTCGTTCCCCCAAAAATTATGTGCAATCTGGAATCGGCCTTCATGTCCAAGACATATTCTGGGTCTAACTCTTCGATTGGCTCCTACAATAAAAGAAGAAGAAAAAAGCACATTTGGGAACTGATAACAGGTGTCCAATATGCCTGGCCCAACTATTCCGCCTACATTAGGCAGGTACAAATGTAGACAGACATCAACAACCTGCTCTGCACCTGCCTGCATTCTTGGTCACAAGGGAGCAAGCTATAGGTAGTGATATTATAACACACAAGACTCTAAAATCCAGGGACTGAGAATCTCCCTCATTCCTCAACTTTGGAAATCTGCAGCTGCTTCTACAGTTGGAGGGAGCACATCAGGTATGTGATTCAGAACTGCTTCCCATATTTTGTCTGAGGGCTTCCCTTGTGGGCTTCCCATAGGGGCATCTGATTGGCCACTGTGAGAACAGAATGACGGATGCTCTTATGTTCTTAATATAATTTAAAATAAAATAAAAAGCATCTAAAAACAGTATTTTTCGGTGTGAAGTTGACACTCCTCTACTCCCAGATATTTGATGGGATGAGTTTTATATCAGCCTTTGGTAACTGGCCGTCCCTGATGTTTCGTTATACTGTTGGGGTAGTGCAGTTTTACTATTTTATGGTGACTGTTTCTATTGTTTCATTTTATATAAATGTTTGTATATTTTAACTGCTCCAAGACAACTTGAGCCTTCTTTTAGAAAAATGCATCTAATAAATTCAACAAACAAAACTAAGTGTTGTTGTGCTTTGATGCTTTGTATAACTGGATTGCTTTGCCAGTTTGTTTGTTTTTAAATAAATATACCGTATTTTTTGCACCATAACACTCACTTTTTTCCTCCTAGAAAGTAAGGGGAAATGTCTGTGCGTGTTATGGAGCGAATGCCTACGGGTGGCGGGGGGGGGGGGATCTGCTGCAGTTGTGAGCATGGTTCCCCTTCCTTCCCTCCTCTGTGGCTCGCTTTGAAACAGCAAAGTGGGAGAAGAGCCGCTGAGTGGGGAGGAGAGAGGGACAGAGAGCCTGCTTCTTTAAAGGAGCAAAGCGGGAGAGGAGAGGAGCCGCTTACACGAGTGTAAGCGGCTCCTGTCCGGTTGGTTCCTTTAAAGCAAGCAGGCTCTCTGTCCCTCTCTCCTCCCCACTCAGCTCGCTAAATAGCAGCAAAGTTTTTCAGCTCGCTAAGCCGGGGATGAGCGGGGAGGAGGGAGAAAAGCAGAGCCTGCTTGCTTTAAAGGAGCAAAGCGGGAGAGGAGAGGAGCCTTCACCCCTTAAACCCCTCTTCTGCATTATTAGCAGCATCCTTCTCCACACACCCCACACGTGCTCCTTGTCCCTTGAGTGCTTTTCCTTCCCTCCCCACTTAAAACGTGGTTACAAAGCACGGATTCACATGGCTCCTCAGGATTTTTGCACTGGGTCACCCCAAATTCACCATCAGATCACATAGCTTGTCCATGGCTACATCTTGCACCAAAAAAATCACGCACCCACTGTTGCCTGGGGCCGCAGTGGTGCAAAAACGTGGTTACAAAGCATGGATCCACATGGATCCTCAGGATTTTTGCATTGGGCTACTTCAAACTCACTGTCAGATCACATGTCTGTGGCCACAGCATGAACCACAAAAATCATACATCCACTGTTTCGTTTAGAATTTTTTTTCTTCTTTTCCTCCTCTAAAAACTACATGCGTGTTATGGTCGGGTGCGTGTTATAGAGCGAAAAATATGGTAAGCATTGTGCTATTTGCAATTTGAATTTGGAACTACAAAAGCACCACCAGCATAAAACAAGACACTTCCTGTTTCTTCTCTTGTTCAGTAAGTCAGAGGACTCCACACTGGGGACCATGGGAGGGAGCACCACCCATTACCACGGCAAGGGATCCAACAAGCTGTGCTGGATACACACAAGCTGCCCTTGTTTTGGGGTTGTTGGTTTTTTAGATTCATTAACCAACCAAAAAAAGGTGAATCCTGAACTCAGCTGGAGTTCACTCTGCTACTTAAAGCCAATGACTTCCAACAGATGATGTATAGTAAACAAAAGCTGCCTTGCCAGATCAGGCCAAATTGATCTAGTCCAGCCTCCTGCGTCCAGCAACGGCCACTCATAGGACACTGGCAACAAGCAGGCAGAATGAGATGGTCCCACTACCCGAGGCTCTAAAATACGCCACCTCTGAATAGGGAGGTTCCATATTGCTCATAGTAATTGCCAAACCTCTCCTCCAAAATTTTGGCTTTGCCTCTTGTTGCCATGGCAATCTCTCCCTCTGCATAAGCGAACATATCCCTGCCATCCCCCCCCCGTCAGCTTCATGTTTCTCTTCCTTACTATTCAAAGCTACACGTCCTCTCTCCTTGTCCTCCTTCACTTTCACTCCTTACTCCCCAGGTGTCCCCTTTTGATCCCTTCCACTATGTCGACTTTCATGCAGCCCCACCCCACAGCATCTATATGGCCCGTTTCCCCATTTCACATTCACTGTGTCCATTTTCCTGGGTCAGCACTGTCTTCTGCAGATTGTATAGCTGCCAAGCATCCTGCTAACACTAAATAAATTGTGACTAAATTAGCAGAAATCATCAGGCAAACCTTCATTTGAGGCACTGATTCTCCAGTCAACATGGCTTCATCTACGATGCACCTTCCCCGCAGCAGCAGCACATCACACGGCACAAGGTTCTCATGGGGGGAGCGGCCTGGAAGTGAGAGTTGGATGCTCAGAAGGACTGGGGGGAAGGTGGGGCCTTTGCTCATAAGGACTCTTGAGAGAGGGACTGTGTCAGGTATTGAAAAGACTCAGGCTTCAGGCCCATGACACAAAGTTGCATGAAATATGCACATGCTAATTTATACACATAGTTGAGCCAATTAAGACTGTGGGTGGCAGGGCTCTCATCAGCGCAACACTGATCTTACCAATGGACACAATGTCCCCCGGAATTATCTCATCGCTGGAAATTGGACGCCACTTCCTGTTTCTGTAAACCTGCAAGAGGAAGAGATATTATTAGTACTATTGTTCTTTATTAATTTAATCTTCATCCACAGATCTCAGGGTGGTTCACAGAAGGGTGGCATTTAGGATGCTAGAGGAAGAGGAGCTGGACCAACTTCCCCAAATTCACCTCATCATACCTACAATTCATATCAGCTTGGGCTCAAGGACTCCTGAATGGAGACTGTTGGACCAATTATCCATCACAGGTTAATCTATCAAACAGCAACCCCGTTCTAACACTTTGGAAACTCAGGCCTGCTCAGGTCAAGAGCCTCCTGCACTCCCTTGATCAACTACAGCACCACCTGACAGAATGATACCGATAACTGTCTTCCCAATGCCCTTGCATGAACAGGGGAGATGGGGAAGCCATGGGGATTGGTGCAAGAGAAGAATCGCCATGGGTTTGGGAGTATTGTTGATAACAAACCCTTTAGGCAGGTGAGGAGCAGCTGAATGACAAGATAATTCTCCTAACTCCCATCTGGGGCTGGCGCAATCCCTGCGGCTCTGGCAGCACCTCCAGGTTCACCCCAACAGCCTTGGCTTTATTCTCCTGACTGCTCTCCTTCCAGCAACTGCCATTACTGTTCCCTTCTGCATTCTACACAGTGATCAGCCCTCTAGGGTCACCCTGAGCAATGGGGATTCAGCGTTCCGGAATCCATGCACCTCATCAGATTGTCTCCAAGTGGGAAGGACCAGTGTCTCACAGCATAGCTCACCACTTCCTGCCTTGGCTCACCTGGATCATGTAAGGTTTGTTGCCCATTTTTCGAATCTCTGACATGTTCCTCATTTGCTGCTGGACGAGAGATGCTTCAAAAGCCACCAGCATGGAAAGGGTGAAGACACTGTAATACCAGTATTCATCCAGGCACCACAACCCCACGCAGAAGACCTACATGTAGGAAACAGACACAAAGCACTCCCAATACTGGTACAGAGCAACAATCCCATTTGGGCCTATGACGAAGACTTGGTTAGCACAGTGGCTAAAAGCATTTAAGTTTCACCTCAGCCTCAAATGCATGAGGTAGCCTTGGACAAGCTTCTAGCCTTGGTGCTTGGTCTGCAACAGAGGGATAAATAATACTGGACCATCTTATAAGATTGTTGCAACGGTTGCTGAAATAGTGGCCAAGTTCCAAAGAACCATGGAAACCAATTCTGGGCACCCAAGTGGACTTTAGGTTTGTTTTTCTTGAACCACAAATTATTGTGTGGTTTGAAAGCATTTTGAAACTGGTGTGTGTTATAATAATAGTAATAGTAATAGTAATAATAATAATAATAATAATAATAATAATAATAATAATTTATTATTTGTACACCGCCCATCTGGCTGGGTTTCCCCAGCCACTCTGGGCGGCTTCCAACAAAGATGAAAAATACACTAAAATGTCACATATTAAAAACTTCCCTGAACAGGGCTGCCTTCAGATGTCTTCTGAATGTCAGGTAGTTGTTTATCGCTTTGACATCTGATGGGAGGGCGTTCCACAGGGTGGGCGCCACTACCGAGAAGGCCCTCTGCCTGGTTCCCTGTAACTTGGCCTCTCGCAGTGAGGGAACTGCCAGAAGGCCCTCGGACCTGGACCTCAGTGTCCGGGCAGAACGATGGGGGAGGAGACGCTCCTTCAGATATACTGGACCGAGGCCGTTTAGGGCTTTAAAGGTCAGCACCAACACTTTGAATTGTGCTCGGAAATGTATTGGGAGCCAATGTAGGTCTTTCAAGACCAGTGTTATATGGTCTCGGCGGCCGCCCCCAGTCACCAGTCTAGCTGCCGCATTCTGGATTAGTTGTAGTTTCCGGGTCACCTTCAAAGGTAGCCCCACATAGAGCGCATTGCAGTAGTCCAAGCGGGAGATAACCAGAGCATGCACCACTCTGGCGAGACAGTCTGAAGGCAGATAGGGTCTCAGCCTACGTACCAGATGGAGCTGGTAAACAGCTGCCCTGGATTTGACCTGTGCCTCCATGGACAGCTGTGAGTCCAAAATGACTCCCAGGCTGCGCACCGGGTCCTTCAGGGGCACAGTTACCCCATTCAGGACCAGGGAATCCTCCACACCTGCCCACCTCCTGTCCCCCAAAAACAGTACTTCTGTCTTGTCAGGATTCAACCTCAATCTGTTAGCCGCCATCCATCCTCCAACCGCCTCCAGACACTCACACAGGACCTTCACCGCCTTCACTGGTTCTGATTTAAAAGAGAGGTAGAGCTGGGTATCATCCGCATACTGATGAACACCCAGCCCAAACCTCCTGATGATCTCTCCCAGTGGCTGCATGTAAATGTTGAAAAGTATGGGGGAGAGGACAGAACCCTGAGGCACCCCACAAGTGAGAGCCCAGGGGTCTGAACACTCATCCCCCACCACCACTTTCTGAACACGGCCCAGGAGGAAGGAGCGGAACCACTGTATGACAGTGCCCCCAGCTCCCCAAGACGGTCCAGAAGGATGTTATGGTCGATGGTATCAAACGCCGCTGAAAGATCCAGCAGAACTAGGAAACAGCTCTCACCTTTGCCCCTAGCCCGCCGGAGATCATCAACCAGTGCGACCAAGGCAGTTTCAGTCCCATGATGAGGCCTGAATCCCGACTGGAAGGGATCCAAATGGTTCGCTTCTTCCAGGCATGCCTGGAGTTGTTCAGCAACCGCTCGCTCAATCACCTTGCCCAAGAATGGAAGATTTGAGACTGGGCGATAATTGGCCATCGTGGCCGCATCTAAAGATGGTTTTTTAAGAAGCGGTTTAATAACCGCCTCTTTCAGCGGGTCTGGGAAGGCTCCCTCACGGAGGGAAGCATTCACCAACCCACGAAGCCCATTGCCCAGTCCTTCCCGGCTAGCTTTTATAAGCCAGGATGGGCAAGGATCCAGGAGACAGGTGGTTGGCTTCACTCGTCCCGCCCTGGCCCTGCTCCCACGGTGGAGTCTACTTCTTCCCGAATCTGAGTGATTTTATCTGCAAAAAACTTTGCAAAATCATTGCAGGAGATCATGTGGCCCGTACTGGGCCCCGATGTCGCAGGTGGTTCCACTAAATTGTGAACCACCTGAAAAAGTCTCCTGCTGCTGTTTTCTGCAGATGCAATAGAGGCGGCGAAGAATGTCTTCTTCGCCGTCGCTATCGCCACTTGGTAGGCTCGACGTTGAGCACTAACCTGTGTCAGGTCAGATTTGGAATGAGTTATCCGCCACCGGCGCTCTAGCCGTCTCAACGATTGTTTCATTGCCCTCAGATCCATGGAAAACCACGGGGCTGTCCGGGCTCCATGCAATCGGAGAGGGCGCTTCGGAGCCAAACAGTCAATAGCCCTGGTTAACTCCACATTCCAGCGGGCCACCAGGGAATCAGCTGAAAGGCCATCAACATGGGATAAAGCATCCCCTACCACTCTCTGGAGACCATTTGGATCCATTAGTGGCGGGGGCGGACCATCCGAATCGGTCCCACCTCCCTGCAGAGGGGAAGGGTTGCGGAGAAGTCCAGTTGCACCAGGAAGTGATCTGACCATGGCACTTCCTTTCGTTTCGCTTTTAGTCAGTGTCAGATCACCAACATCCATAGAGGTGAACACCAGGTCTAAGGCATGTCCATGGCTATGAGTTGGGCCAAACTTATTCAGGGACAGCCCCATGGAGGCCATGCTTTCCACGAAGTCCCGAGCGGCCCCTTGTAAGGTCGTGTCGGCATGGATGTTAAAATCCCCCAGGACAACCAAACTAGGTGTCTCCAGGAGAACATCTGCCACAACCTGAAGCAGCTCGGGCAGGGAATTCTTGGTGCAGCGGGGAGGTCGGGACACCAAAAGGAATCCTGTACTGCCCCTATTGCCCAACTTCCAGAACATGCACTCAGAGAACTGGGTCTTCCCAGTAGGACGCCTGATGCAAGCTAATGACTTCCTAAAAATCACTGCAACCCCCCCCCCCGCCCACATGACCTGGGTTACTGTGCGTAAGAGAAACCTGGTGGACAAGCGGCGGCAAGGACAGGCCCATCTGCTTCATCCAACCAAGTCTCTGTTACACATGCCAGGTCAAGTCCTCCATCCATGATCAAGTCATGGATGGCAGTGGTCTTATGAATCATTGACCTGGCATTGCACAGCAACACCTTCAGGTCATGTGGGTTTCCCTTGCTGATTCTAGTATCCATCCGGTCAGGACCGGACCCGGAGGCAGGGATAGTCCTCAGACAACGACTAAACCTGCCTCCTCTGTAATTACATGGTCTGGTCTTAGCGTAACTACTACTCCTACCCGTGATCACTGAGATCGGTTGTCCCAGTGCATCCCCCCCTGTGGACACCCCTGTGGTTAAATGACCAAAGAGAGAAGACAAAAACTGCAACAGCCTAACGCAAACCTTTTGTTACTAGACTCATCAGGCCCTCCAAGAATGTCCATGTGGGACATGAGGGTAGAGGCTGGGCCTGTATAAATTTGTTATTCACATAAACATCTGATATTTTATACACACTGAAAACTTTTAAGAAAACATTGATTTTAACTTAAGAACAGTAAGCTGAATCAGGCCAATGCCCCATCTGGTCCAGTGCCCTGTTCTCATAGTGGCCACCCAGATGACCGTAGGGGAAGCCCTCTTGCCGGCTGCAGTTTCAGCGGCTGGTAATCCGAAGAGAACTGCTTCCAGCTGTGGAGGCAGAGCATAGCAACCACAGCAGGCGGCCACAGATATCCTTATCCTCCATGATGGTTTGTCTAATCTGCTTCTAAAGTCAGCTAAGCTGGTGGCCGTGACTGCCTCTGAGGGGAGCAAGTTCCAGAGTTTAAGTATGTGCAGCATGAAGAAGTCCTGAATCTTCCAATATTCAGTTTCACTGGATATCCATGAGTTCTAGCATAATGAGGGCAGGAAATTTTTTCTCTTTCTCCATGTCATGCATAATTTTACAAACGTCTATCATGTCAACTCTTAGCACCTTTTCTGTAAACTAAAATATTCCCAAATGCTGCAACCTTTCTTTCTAGCTTCTGTGCCAAGAATGGCTGAGCAGCATCTAAGTCCATACCAGCCTGGTAAATATGTATGGCAGGAGTGTGTGATTCAGAGTACAGTGGTACCTCGGGTTACATACGCTGCAGGTTACAGACTCTGCTAACCCAGAAATAATACCTCAGGTTAAGAACTTTGCTTCAGGATGAGAACAGAAATCGTGCTCTGGCGACGCGGCAGCAGCAGCAGGAGCAGGAGGCCCCATTAGCTAAAGTGGTGCTTCAGGTTAAGAACAGTTTCAGGTTAAGAACGGACCTCCGGAACGAATTAAGTACTTAACCTGAGGTGCCACTGTACAATAGAAGGTGACAATTTTTAAATATACGTAAGAGATTTTGCCTGTGGAATTCTGGGTTTAAGGAACAGAAACTCAAAAAGAGGCTGATGCTGCATATCCTTTTTGATTACCTGAAAGACGAAGAAAGGGGCAGTGGCTCTTTCTTTGAAGAGTTCAAGGAATTCTGGCACAACCATCTCTGCCCTGTGTGAAAAACAGAACCCTGATTTATTTTGGCATTGTGTTGTGACATTCTGTCCTGCTTGCAATCCCTAAAACCCTGGAGGTTTGATTCCACACACACACACACACACACACACACACACACCAACCCCACATGAGACACCTCACCATCTTTCTGCTTGCTGTTTCCACTTGGAAACACTTCTTCAATGTCTTAGAGCATCCGGCTCTGTTTCCAAGTGGAAACAAAGCCGGATGCTCTAAGGCATTGCAAAAGTGCTTGTTCTGAGAAGTTGACGGGTAGCAATCCCTCTGACAAAGCTCTTCATAAAAAAGGGGCTTATGAGGAAGGTTTCAAAATCTTGGATTCTATTGTCTGTCCTAGAGTTACTTCAACTGTGTATATTTAATAACTAGAGAAACAAGAATTACCATTGCAGCCATTGCCATTTTTATGAAAGTGAACCTCTAACATTTGGCTGAAAACTGGAGAGTGAAAACTCTCTCTTACTGGTTGACATGATTACACCATTTGCTTGTTCTTCCAGATACTGTTAGAGAAGCTGCAGCTATTGACTTGGGTTTTCATTGTGTTGCCCACCTTTCCTGAAAGTTCTGCTGTCATCTTACAGGCCCTAAAATTTTATCAGGCCTTTAAGACAAAGTTGCATTATTCAAGGGGGTATTCTGTTCCTTCAGACACAATTGCAGTAGATGCCTGCATCTTTCGTGGTTGATCTATCACTTTGAAGGCTACATAACTTTGCCTCAAAACACTAAGAGTTTAAGACTGAGAAGCTTAGGTGGGTGGATGATGGGAGAAGAAAAGAATTCTCTCCCCACCATAATTACCCAAGAATAAATAGGAGCTGGGGAGGTGATGGCTAGAATGTGAGTGAAAGGAGAGGCCATGAAAAATGTGTGCAATCTGATGCATGTGTTGAGTCTTAATTGTGTTCCTTGTTGCAGACAGCATCCTTCTGGGATGGAAGCCAGAACAAGGGTTTAGAGCTAGGAAGTTGTATTTCAACTGTGAAGAAGAGAGGAAGGTGTTGAGTAGGTTAATCTTCCTTGCCTCCACTTGCTGGCTCAATCCTGGAGGCCCTTCAGTTAAGGGCTTACTTCTAAGTAGATATGGGTAGAGGAAAGCATAAATCTCCAGACCTTTTGAATAAAAGTCTAGCCATCACCTCCCCAGCTCCTATTTATTCTTGGGTAATTATGGTGGGGAGAGAATTCTTTTCTTCTCCCATCATCCACCCACCTAAGCTTCTCAGAGAGATTTGGGCCAGGGCTTGAATTCAGGTGATGACTGTAAAAAGGGAGGGGCTGTTTGCTCTACTACCCCTACCCCTAAATGCATGTGGAAAGACTGCAGTGCTCAGCCTAGGACACAGGACAGATCTAGGTGGGGGATTTTCTAGATGTGCCCTATGAGTTTTCAGCTTCCATTAATGAGCAATGTGCAGGCAACACGGGCACAAAAGTTGTAGAACAATGACCAAAGAACCCCTACTTTTATTCAAAAGGTCTGGAGATTTATGCTTTCCTCTACCCATATCTACTTAGAAGTAAGCCCTATTGATGCATACAACTGCATACTCAGGAGCCAAATCAGAATAAAATTGCTCGCCTGTGGAAGGACAGAATCACCAGGTAGTAAACTGTAAAAAATAGTTACACAGAAATGAGAAACTATTTCTGTAAAATTCTTCCTATAGTTACTCATTAACCTGATAGTACTACCCATCCATTGCTCTGCTTTCCTTTGGACCACACCAGGGAGGCAGGCAGGTGTGTGTCTTGTGGTCTGGGGAGCCCAGGACTGCTATACACACTGCCGAGGCTCGCACCCTGGGAGGCCACTTCGGCGCTGGTAATGCGGCAGTTTGACTTCACCTCAAGAGGCACACTCCATTGTCTCTTGAGGCAGGTGGATGCTGCCAACACCTACCTACCCACAGGTGGCTTGACTCACACTGAGCACAGCGCATCACACTAAGCACTATGTTTTGTCAGCGGTTATTTTTTGCTAGAGTATCCCCCAGAGAACCCTTAACTCATACTATGTTACCCACATGCTGGATTCAAAGTACTGCCAACTAATAGTTGTAAGTTAATTAGTCATTAATTCAGGCATCCTGTGGGCAAAAGTCTGAGTGCTCCAATTCCTGGAAATGCCCACCATAAATGTTACCCCAAAGCAGCTGGATCCAAGTTTGCCCCACTTACTTGTTGGTGCCATAGGTCTTCTCTGCTGCTTTGATCTCCTTGTCTTCCTGGTAGCCACGTGCATTCTGATAAAATTGCAATGGATGTTCCACAGGGAATAGCACAGGAAGGAATTTTTTTCTCTCATTTGGCTCATAGAAATATTTGATTTTCTGAAATTCGAAGGAAAGGACCTCCTGTCCATCCTCCCCCTAGAAGAAATAAAGAAAGCTACAGCAAACAGGTTTCCACATGCAAGAGGCAAGCTTAGCAAGTAAGATTTTAGAGACTTCCACTGTCATGTTTAAAAGGACTCCCTGCCGCAAGGTAGGCGCAATCACTAGCCCCTCCACCCCAACAGGGAAGGGCCGAAGCTCAGTGGCAAAGCGGTTGCTTGGCATGCAGAAGGTCCCAGATCCTATCCCTGGCATCTCCAGGTAGGGCTGGGACAGGATCCTGTCTGATACCCCAGAGAGCAGCTGCCAATCAGTGTCAACAATACTGAGCTAAATGAACCAGTAGCCCAACTCAGAATAAGGCAGTTTCCTGTGTTCCAAACTGAACAAAGTAAACCCAAGCATCAATAAAGTACCACAATAAAAGGACAGCTCCAAAGCTGAAAGTCACAATATGCAAAAAAATGTCTGAAGTAGACAAGAGACACAAATCAATTTAACCCACCCTCTGGAACATGCGCTGCCTGCATGCTTCCTACCTTTATTTGGCTGCCAAGTCTGCTTTTCTGTGGCTTTTTACATGGTGCCAAATCAATAGGCCAGATCCAGACTTAGTCAAAAGTGCCACTGAAGCAACAAGTCAAGTCATGACTAGCGTAGTCTGTATCCAGCTGGCAAACAGAAATGGGATAGCAGAAGGTTCCACATGGGGGAGCTGCTTTGAACCACAGCCATGAATTTCTTACCTGGTCTCGATGGATGGGCACCAATTCTGCAGAACCGTTATTGGGGGTTGGCACAACTTTAGCCAATGTTGCTTTCCTTGGACTGCGCACCTGAAGACACACAATTAGGGAAGAAAACAGTCTTTAGAGTTAGGACCAAAAGAGCCGGCATAGCATTACGTCTGAATCTGAGCTTTTTTGTTTGTCTTTCCTAAATCAACCAAGAGTAGTAAACCAAGGCTTGCGGTTGTGATCTTTGCTCTGGAAATTCACATCTGCTTAGCATTATGTACAAACCAGGTCATTATCTGAGATGGATACACAACTAGCCTCTGTTCCTTTGAACCTTTTGCACAGGACTGACCCTACTATGAGACAGAATACAGTGGCTGCCTCAAGCAGCTAATTTTGAGTATGATTAACAGGTGGCAAAACATTAACAACTGATGGTAAATAACTATCAGTTACTTAAATTAATTCACTATTAAGAGCTTTAACAAGTAAGTTTTAAAATAAATATTGTCTGTGCCCTTCCACTGTATTCTCTAAAACAGTGGTTCTCAACCTTCCTAATGCCGCGACCCTTTAATACAGTTCCTCATGTTGTGGTGACCCTCAACCATAAAACTATTTTCGCTGCTACTTCATAACTGTAATTTTGCTACTGTTATGAATCGTAATGTAAATATCTGATAGGCAGGATGTATTTTCATTGTTACAAATTGAACATAATTAAAGCATAGTGATTAATCACAAAAACAATATGTAATTATATATTGCGAAATATTTATTTCTAATTACAAATAAATGACATTTTGTCATGAAGCATGGTGTAGCATGGGTAACAGTCTTAATATAACAACAGTAAACTACATTGCTCCATTTTGCGACAGTATGCGTAAAAAGCCAAAGTCAGCGTGAAGGTTGAGATTGCTTCTTTCTCACCAGATCAGAAATTCTTGGGGCAGTCTTTGCAAAAGCACAACAAAGATCATCTTCTACAACAAGTCTACTTCTGTAGACTTGATAACCAACAAGCTGGAAAACTCTGTTTCACAAAGATATGTTGTTGGAAATGGAAGAAGAAGACACAACACATTCTCAGACAGAACAGGATATGACTGCAAACACTTGATCCAGAATTTTGTAACTGGCCTTGTAGAGAAATCAGTTCTCGCTGCATCACTGTTAATAAATTCAATGAACTCCTCTTGTGCTGTCTCAGGAGCATCTTCAACTTTGACTGTGAATGGGCTTCTGGCAAGTGCAAATGGGGCGTCAGGTAGATTTGGAAAGTATGATGAAATTTCGTCTGCAAGCATGTGCAAGTGTTCTTTCACAGAAATTATCATCGCAATCCTTTTGTCTGGTTCAATGTCATGTTCCTCAAAGAAAGCACATAAGGGAGGCAACACCTAAATTTTACAGTGGTACCTGTACATACATACGCTTCAAGTTACATACGCTTCAGGTTACAGACTCCGCTAACCCAGAAATTGTGCTTCAGGTTAAGAACTTTGCTTCAGGATGAGAACAGAAATCGTGTTCCGGCAGCACGGCAGCAGCAGGAGGCCCCATTAGCTAAAGTGGTGCTTCAGGTTAAGAACAGTTTCAGGTTAAGTACGGACCTCCAGAACGAATTAAGTACTTAACCCGAGGTACCACTGTATTTTGATCCAATTTTTTTTGCCAAAGCTGAAGTTTCATTTGGAATGATCAAATCTTTTCAGACAAATTGAGGCATGTTGCATTTGGTCCTTGCAGTGATAAATTTAACCATTCAAGATGGCAAAGATGTCAACCAAGTAAGCTATTTTCTGCAGTTCACTTTTATTGCTGAAAAGTGCTTCAAACTGCGGTCTTGCTTTCTGATTAAAAAAGGTTTTGAGTTCATCACAAAACTCAAAAACAAATTTTAAAACTTTTCCTCTAGACAACCATCTCACTTCAGTGTGAAATAGCAGAGCATTGTTCAGCGCATCCAACTCGTTGCACACTTGTGAAAACAGGCGACTGTTTAAAGTGCTCGCCTTTACCAAATTGACAGAATTTATTATGCTTTCCCCCGCTGACATTCCCCCCCCCTCCCTCACCGCAGTGGAACCTCCCCCTCCTCCCAGTGTAGCAAATCGCCAGCCAAGGTTTGAGGCCCTGGGCAATGGGCAAGCGGCGGCTGTGCGTGGCTGAGAGGAGGAAGGGGGCTGGGCTGAGCTGGCCGAGCGCATTTCCAGCAGTCCCTCATCTGAGCAAGCTGTTTGCTGCCGCTGCTCATACTGCCGCTGCCACCCTGCTAAGCGCGGCTCCTGTGCCTGCCCTTGCGAGAGGCAGAGGCTGTCATCAGCGGAGGAGCCCACCCCCCAAAAGCTTGCTGACCTCTGGTCTTAGGTGACCCCTGTGAAAGGGTCGTTCAACCCCCCCAAAGGGGTCTCGACCCACAGGTTGAGAACTGCTGCTCTAAAACAAAAATAAACACACACACACCCCTTTGCTTCCCCCTTCCCTGTCATGCGATGATTAAACACAGAAGTAGAAAGCTTGAATCAAGCTAGTGTCTTCCATATTGACATTGGGGCTTGTGCTTAGTCTCATAAAGAATTCTACACCTAATGGCTTGGATTCTCTCTGTGGGAGTCTCTCCATAGAATCAGGAGGGATGGGGCATGAAATCACCAAAAACTGGGCAGAGGGTATGGAAAACTCTTCTTCCCCAAGCTTCCTTAAGTCACCTGACCTTAGGATCCAAGCCACTGCTTGCCACGTTCTAACCATATTTGCTCAGAGGTAAGAAAGATCCTCCAGCTACATTGGGATTTACTTTTCAGTAAGTTTAGTTATGACAGCAGCTTAGATTTATAGTCCAGCCCCTAAATTTTACATACACTTGCATTTTGTGTAGCAGGAAGAGAAGATTATTTTTGTATGTAAGAAACTTCCTTATACTGCTGTCAGACCGCTGGTCCATCTAGCCCACAGTACTGTCTACTCTGACTGGCAGTAGTACCCCTCAACAGTTTCAGGAAGAGCTCTCACTTAGCACTGCTACCGGCAGTCGTTTAACTGGGAGTTGAACCTGGGACCTTCTTCATGCAGATCATGTGCTCCCCCTGAACTATGCTTATTACTTGCTTGAAAGGGAGCAAAGGAAATGAAGCTTATGCAATTAAAGTTGAGGAATCTAAAAAGACAAAACAACAACAACAACCCCAAAACATTTTCTTGCATTTTAGAGAAATGAGGAAGCCCAGTGGTTTAAAGAAAGCAAACTTAGCAGGGGTTAAATGTAGCTGTGATAACCAGGCAGCCTGCCACTTTCAAGGCCTTGGAAAGAGACGACTGAGCAAAGTTCACCAGATTACCACCCTTCCAACAAAGTTTTGACGCTGTGCCCAACAATACCACAAGCAGCAAAAAGTTATTTACAGCTTTGTCTCCCAGCTTAAAAATATGAAATAAAAAAGGATAAGTATTTTGATTTTCTTCTTCGTCACCAGCATCCTAACTGAGACATACTGGTATGGCTGACAGAGGCTGTTGTTGGTCTCAGTCTGTGGTACTCAAATCAAGCAAGTCCCAACCAACATTGATTCTTGAGGAAGTGGATACAGAATATCCTGATGCAGCTTGCCCTACTGGTGACAGACACAGGACAATCCTAGAAGTGTCACCACTGCCCAGAAACCAGTGTGCCATTGCAAGGAGAAAGCCTGGCCACTTCATAAAAACTTCAGGGCAGCAAAAATATTCAGAGTGGATCATTATCCATTTACTTATTTGCTATTGCCCACCTTTGAAATCAGCCAGACTTAACAATTAACAGAGAAATACACGCCACTCCAAAGCCTGCATATCAAACTGCAAGTTTTGAAATAAGGGAACATCCTGTCCTCCAGCTGTCTGAGTACCTCAACTGTGACAGTAACACATGTGGATCCAACTTTCAGGCAGGGTAGATGTATGTTGGTAACATGTACATCACCATGTTACATGTATTTCATCATGCATGAAGTTTTTGTAATGGTGAAAAACTGAAAGTGGCCTTGACTGTCCAAATAATCACACACCAATTAAATTAATGGTCTATTTTGTCATGCAGCCAATTTTGCAAGCACAAATATTTTTCCTGCAAAACAGGTTCGATTACAAATTTTCTGTGCAACAGGGATACTCATGTAGGAAACTGTTACTTTCAAGACACCCCTACGATGACCTGGAATAAGCACAATCCACCATGTATGGCAGTATAACAAAGGGCAGGTTTTTAGACCAACCAACCACTTTAAAACTAGACAGCTGCCAGCCCTAGCTTAAATACCCCCCAATTTACAGCAGAGTCTCCAAACACAGATTCTGTTCTGGTAAGATGAAACGTGCGTGAAGAGGATATAGACTTCCAACTGGTCACATGAACAGCCTCCCCCCCGAAGCCAGCCCTTCATTCCCGCCTCGAGGTCTCCTCGCTCCCTCCGCAAGGCCCGACTCACCGCGCAGCAGTAGAGCAGGCAGTGGACGTGGACGCTCCAGAGGCCGGCCAGGGCGGTGAGCAGGTGGGCGGCGCCGATGGCGGCCAGGTAGAGCAGCGCGGCTTCGGGCGCCTCGGCGGCGGCGGCGGCGCCCCGGCCCAGTCGCGGGCGCTGCGCCCCCAGAACCACAGCCAGAGCGGGTAGAGCACGCAGAAGGGCAGCACCGTCCCCCACAGCAGCCGAGAGCGGCGCCGGTACGGAACCACGTCCTGCACCAGCTCGTCCCCGGGGCCCGGACCGGCCCCCGCTGCACCCGCCGCCGCCATCCTTCTCCCGGGACCCCGCGCCGCCACCGGCCAGCTCCGCGCGCGCCGCTTCCGCTTCCGGGGCAGCCGGCCCCGCCGCGAGCCCGGCAGGCGCGCAGACCCCGCGCATGCGCAGACCCTCCCGCGGCGGTGGCGGGGCAGCGATACAACGTGGCCTTAGCGCGTCTTACGCGCCGGCGCCGCGATGGCCTCCAGTGTCATGGCTGCCCGAGAGAGCCTGGCACGCATGCGCAGATGGAGACACTCCCTGGGGAGGGAGCATGCGCGCCAGAGGTCGGGATCCGGCCTCGGCGCTGCAGGAGCGACATGTGAGTGGGGCGTCTGAGCGGAGGGAGGGAGGGAGAGCGCGGCCTAATGGCTAGGGCGCTTGGCTTGGGAGACCCCCAGGGCTCCAACACAAAGGCATCTTGCATCTTGATGCTGTGACATTTTTATGCCCCGAGACTACGGACAAAGAGCGGGATGCACAATTAAGACATTAAACAATCAAGCCCAAGGTCTGGTTGAAGAAGAATATTTTCGCCTGGCACCTAAAGGCGTGTAATGGAGGTGCCAGGCAAGTCTCCCTGGGGAGAGCATTTCGCAAAGGGGGGCCAGCACAGAGAAGGCCCCGTTCTCCAGGCCTCACGTAGAGGAGGCTCACAAAGAAGGATGGTCAGAGGATGATCTCAGGGTCTAGGTAGGCTCATATGGGGCAGTCCTTGAGGTATTGCGGTCCTGAGCCATTTATAATTCTGTGGTAAACCAAGTTATGCACTTCATGTTTCTAATGTTACAAAATGACTTGTAAAGAGCACTTAAAAAGAAAAGAGCATTGCATTTCCCCCATTTTCAAAAAAAATTCTAGAAATTTTACATTTACATCCTGATGTTAGCAATGCACTCCAAAGCAGTTCTTCCTACGTGTTGGGTGTCATTTTGCCAGGAGCATGTGGAATAATGGCAAAGTCTGTGCATGGGAGAATGCACAGAGGGCCTCCAGCAATAACCACGAATGTCTGTCAGGGATTAGGGAGCATGACTAATCTTTGAGGAGGGGGCAGAGACTCTGTAAATTACAGGGCTCTCCATGTACCTGCACTGGAATCCTATCCATGTTGGATCAGATGACTCTAATGAATGCTGTTGTGCCTCCATCCCGACAGGCAGGCGGCCCTGGAGGTGACCGCCCGGCATTGCCGAAAAGAAGCAGAGCAGTATGGCCAGTGTGTGGCTGCCAACCCTTCCTCCTGGCAGCAGGACTGTCACCAGCTCAAGCTTGAAATGGCCAAGTGCACGTCATCCCAGTAAGTTTCCAAGCAAGGCACCATTCCGTAGCACAAGCCCGACTTGGTGCGATAAAACTTTGATGCGTCATTGTGGGGGGGGGGACGACCCTCTGATGCGTGTTTCCCCCCCTCCCGCTTGGGGATCTACTTTCAAAGCAATGACTGAATGGCTGGATTTATACAGGATGCATAACACCAGGAAAGCCTGACTTTGAATGCCGTGCTTAAATCACACATTAAACTGATGTGACTAGTAGCCTTCTAAGCAGGGCTTTTTCTAGTTCTGGCTCCTCTCAGGGGGGCACCATTGCCTTTGTAAGAGAACGAGGCGAGTTCTGGCACCTCTTTTTCTAGAAAAATAGCACTGCTTCTAAGCCACTGTGTGAGGGGGGCAGTGCATGTTGGAAGCCTACACAGGTAACAATTTCTCTGTGGTCTGCATTGTGTATAAATTACCGTATTTTTTGCTCTATAACACTCACTTTTTCCCTCCTAAAAAGTAAGGGGAAATGTGTGTGTGTCTTATGGAGCGAATGCAGGCTGCGCAGCTATCCCAGAAGCCAGAACAGCAAGAGGGATTGCTGCTTTCACTGCATAGTGATCCCTCTTGCTGTTCTGGCTTCTGAGATTCAGAATATTTTTTTTCTTGTTTTCCTCCTCCCAAAACTAGGTGCATCTTGTGGTCTGGTGCGTCTTATAGAGCGAAAAATACGGTAGGCCTGTGTCTGGGGAATGTCTATCCTGTACTCTGCCCCCAGCTAGAGAAAGGAAGTGATGTCTAAATCACTCCAATAATTCTCCTGTGGTTCTAATGTAGACACTGGGAACCTCAGGCCTCTAGATCTCACCCCCACTGGATCTGGTCTATGCCATATTTGCTTTTGCCTGGATTTAATGTGTTCTTAACTGTGATATTGCAGAGGATGTAGTAGCCTATGGCTTTGTTGAAAGGGTAAGCTCCACCCACTTTTGCTTCTGGCCCTGCCCACTACTTGCATGCAGCCCCTGGAAGGTTCCCCATGAGGGAGCATGTATTTCAGGACTACCTTTTGTTTGCAAGCCTTCTAGGATGGATGAGCTATTTCTGCACTTGTACTGGTCAGGCAGAGTGCTTTTGAGTTACAAGAAGGGGCCCAAGTGTTGGCAAAGGGCTAAAGAAGATGAGTGGAAATGAGCTCGTAGGAAACTTGGGAGAGCTCTATGAGTTCAGGGGAAACCATAATGGGAGTTGGGGGAAATTATTGAAGACATGTCTAGTGGCAGAATGGATAGGAGGCATTTGTGGAGGGATCTGGGTCCATGACAATGTCCAAAGTGCTCAGTGTTCATTAGCCCAGTAATCCATAAGTATAATTCATATTATCCCCATTTTGCAAGTGTGGGGACAAAGACTGAGATAAAGTGGTTTGCCAAAGGCTACTAAGTAAGTTGGGACGCAGGTGGCGCTGTGGGTAAAACCTCAGCGCCTACGACTTGCCGATCGTATGGTCGGCGGTTCGAATCCCTGTGGCGGGGTGAGCTCCCATCTTTCGGTCCCAGCTCCTGCCCACCTAGCAGTTCGAAAGCACCCTACAGTGCAAGTAGATAAATAGGTAGCGCTTTCTAGCGGGAAGGTAAACGGCGTTTCCGTGTGCTGTGCTGGTGCAGGCTCGCCAGAGCAGCTTCGTCACGCTGGCCACGTGACCCGGAAGTGTCTCCGGACAGCACTGGCCCCCGGCCTCTTAAGCGAGATGGGCGCGCAACCCCAGAGTCGGTCACGACTGGCCCGTACAGGCAGGGGTACCTTTACCTTTACCTTACTAAGTAAGTTCAGGGCCAAGTGAGAATTGAAGATGTTTTGGCTCACTCTCTTAGCAACTACAATGCACTAGCACTCAGAGACGCAGTTTGAGTGACACGCTAAGTCTAGGTGCACCATGAATGAACAAGCATACTGGTGCATTCTGCTACAGTGGTGCCTGCCTGTCCCTCTCTTTGCAAAGCTGGAAGGGAACAAACTCAAGTACTGGCTTAGTGTGACCCGATGGTCATGGTTTGCTTCTCTCTGAACAAATCATGAGCAGAAGCCACAAGTGCTGCTTGCTAATTGCTAATGCTAATTCTGTGCTTTGCTTTCTCTCAGCTTTGGGAAGGAGGGGAAGGCATGATTTTAGCACACTTGCTTATGAATGGTACAGCTGAACTTACTGCGATGTATGTGCCAGGCCAAAGTGAGATCTTTCTCCCACCATTCAAACAAGAGTATCTGTCAATTTCTCACCTTTTACACAACCACCTGTGCGGCTTTCATTGCAGCCCAATTGTACAGAAAATCCGCCACGATTGCGCTGAACCATTTGCTGCATTCGAACAGTGTCTTAAACTGAACCAGACATCTGTAGTCAACTGCACTGAACATGTCCAGAAATTCCTGCTCTGTGCTGACCAGGTGAAACTGGCCACATAAGGTTGGTGTCCCAAACTGATATGTAAGAGGGCGCGCGCCCCCGCTCTCCATGTGCATGCATGTGTCATTCTTGGGAGGCCACTCTTATTTCCCCAGCAGTTATCCAGGAGTGTGTTTTGCCAAACAAGCTAACCCACTAATCCAGTTGTGGCCGTTGTTAGAGTAAACACTTCTCTGTTTAAGCCATGCATGCTCGAGCCTGGAACTACAAAAATACACTTACATAGTTGTTCTTTACAAACAATTTCAAAGAGGGAAATATATCTCTCACTTGAGCCTTTGTTCTTCCTCTCCTATAAGCAGCACTCGATTACTGCTTAGTCGGCCTGCCAGGGACCAGATAAAATTGCACTGGCAGGGACCTCTTCTCACCTCTCGGTTACCAAACAGCTCTCCTGTCCTAAGTTAGGCTTGGTAACAGTGTGCAAGCCTCCATCAGCCTTGAAAATAGAGAGTCCCCTGAGACCTCCTGTTCCCCTGCTGTCTCCATCTTCTCTTCTAGGCACATATTTGGAAAACAGGCAGCCAGGATGTTTGCTGCCATTCTATTTCCAAGGAGTCTTGTGGCACTGTAAAAGATGAACCACTTTATGATGGACTACACTTGCTCCATGGGACGCGGGTGGCGCTGTGGGTTAAAGCCTCAGCGACTAGGACTTGCCGATCGAAAGGTCGGCGGTTCGAATCCCCGCAGCGGGGTGCGCTCCAGTCGCTCGGTCCCAGCGCCTGCCAACCTAGCAGTTCGAAAGCATCCTCGGGTGCAAGTAGATAAATAGGGACCGCTTACCAGCGGGAAGGTAAATGGCGTTCCGTGTGCTGCACTGGCTCGCCAGATGCAGCTTGTCACACTGGCCACGTGACCCGGAAGTGTCTCCGGACAGCGCTGGCTCCCGGCCTATAGAGTGAGATGAGCGCACAACCCTAGAGTCTGTCAAGACTGGCCCGTACGGGCAGGGGTACCTTTACCTTACACTTGCTCCACTTCCACAATGCATTTGTTAGCCTCCTCCACACCCATTAAATCTGCTCTGGAGGGTTGGAGGGATCTCCAGAACAGTTTAGGGGGCATGTGGTGGAGAGGAGAGGGAGGAAAAGTCTCATTGTGCAAATGGACCTCCTTCCAGGGACACATCCCCCATTTTGCACTACGTTGAATTCCACCTGTTGTGATGTACTGTTTTGATAGGCCTTTCATTTGTGCTGTGTTTGTTCTTTGTCCCTTTCTCCTTCTCCTTCAGTACCAAAAAGGGTGATCTCCTCTGTGTTAACTCTGGGGTGTCCACTGGATTAAAGGTTCCTGGTTCCAGGAATGGCAACAATGTCATCCTCAAGATCTACTAGGTCACAAGAATTGCTTCCCGGTCCTGGAAGCCCATTTCTGCAGCCATGCCTGCCAATGCCATCTCAGTGTGGCACATTGAAGTGCAGCTTCTGATCAATAAACCATGGGAACCACATAGGCATGGCCATGGTAGTCTCAGCTCCATCTGCAAAGCCAGCCCTGCCTCTTGGAGCCCAGTGTGTGTGTTTTCCTGAGCCTGGAGCTCATCCAGGCACAGTGCAATAAACTGCTGTCAAAGACCAGAACAGTCTCTTGTGGTTCTTTCAGTCTAATCGTCCAGTTTAGCAGCTGGTGCATGAAGTCGACCTACACATAACCTAAACCAGTTTCAAGGTGATCAGCAGGAGTTTGCAGGGAAAATACATGGATGGGAACAGAAAGGAGTCTGGTTTTCTGCTTGTGGATCTTCCCTGCAAAATCCATGCAGCCTAAATTGTCATTTCTCCTTGAGCAGGGGACAGGAGGTAGATGTTTGCATTGTGTTTGCCCAGAGCCAGTAGAGGGCACTATCTCAGCAGGAGAACCATCTTGGTTCATGTGAAATAACTACCACCTTCTGGATGGATTAGCATCCCCACTGCATCTATAACCAGGCTGGAACAAGAGGAAAACAATCCCCTCTTTAGTCAAACGCATTGCATGACCTGCATGGCTTGCTTCTCCTGGAGGCACTAAACCTGTGCTGGGGGTGTACCATCAAGATTGCAAACAAAAGCACTTCCTGACCAGAACAATCTGGTGTGTCAGGGAAAATCATTCCCTTCCTTGCCTAGAGTCTGATGTGGTTCAGCTGAAACAAAGGTTGACTGTGTCCCTACGAACTAGGTTATGGTTAAAGGGTGCTGGTTAAAAGATTTTGAGTGTGACAGGTGCTACCATTGCTTGATGCTGTTGCAAGTTTGTTTGTTGGCAAAATTTGGGTAGGGGAGCAGGAAGTGATAAAAGGAAAGTGTGCTTGTTTTCAGAGGAATGGATCAGAGTCTAAGCTTAGAATAACAATAGAAGGGTCCAAAGTCTTCTCCCCCTACTAGGAAGGGGGCTGGGAGCAGGGGCTTCGAGAATATTCTCCCAGCTCTCGTGAGCATTTTAGGAAGACCACACTGCTTTCCTAAGGGTCTGGAAGCTGACTTTTCCATTTTCTTTTGAGCAAATTATTTTCCCACTTCTAACTGGGACTGGCTATAATATTGCTGATCACATAAGTGGTTGCATAGTGCAAGGTGCTTAAGTCGTATTTTGCTTGCAACATTTCTTCCAGGTGGCCACTCCGAGTTCTGTTTAAGAGGATGTGATGACCAAAATCCAGAGCTGGCAACAGACATAGGAGTTGGCATGTTTAAATTACCAGCATAGTCTGCTGACTACCTTAGTGCTGTAGTGCTAAATTGGGGCAATTTGCATCAAAGGTGAGATTTGTCCAGTGTGGAAGTGGTCCACAATTCCTTGATCAGACTGTGCTTTTACCCTGATTCTTTCTAGCCTACCATGATCAATAACTGAGATCAGCAGAGTCCCTGTGCAGCTTTCAGGCATCAGCACGTTGAACGCTAAAAATATACCAACCTCCATTTTGAAGCACCCTTGTCTAAGATGATTTCCTCTTGGGTTGCATTGGAGGTAATTGCTTCAGTCTACAGGAAATTAGCTGTACAAATTGCAACTTCATGTTGACTTATAACTAGCTTGTTCTGTTCTGTTGATTTCCACGGGCACGAGAAACCATCTCTGGACTGGCTTCATTTAGTGTTCAAAAGTTCTGGAAAGAAGCCATACAGAAATGATCTAAGGGCTACAAAAGCTCTTTGGGTTGTTGTTTTGCCTCTGTTTTCTCCTTTGTGTGACATAAATAATAGTTTTGTTTCCCCAGAGCAGTGAAATGAAAGGTAATTTGTTTTTTAAAAAAACAGAACTCGGTGGTGTGATTCTTGCACTCGCATATGCAGTCATGTATGTCAATCCCACTCCCTTCTGCCCCAAAGTTTCAGCCCCCCATCCCTTCTGCCCCAAAGCTGGAGTCAGACTGGATGAGAACATGGCACCAAGCGGCTTTGTCAGTTGTCACCTCTTCCCCGAGTGGAACTTTGCATGCGGACGCAGCCCAGATCAGAGCAAGTTCATGGCCAGCTCTGCCTTTAATTCCTCATCCAGAAAAATGTCCTCATTTTACACCCCGCTTCTCGCTCGCTATTGAGCATGCCCATTAATCAGCACCACAGCCTTTGGTGTCGACGGGCTCCTCGGGGGAGATGAATGCCTCTCTGTGAGACGGGCTCAGGGCGCTGGGGGAACGGCATTCCATGCACGTTGGTTTTGACTGGCTGACGTCCAGCTGAAAGCAAGACAAGGCTCTTGGGTGTGAGCGGAGGAGAGCGGAGGAGCTGGACAGAGCAAAGAATCAAAGCCAGGAGTTCAAGATGTTTCCCGAGGGTGAAATTTATCGGGGGGTTGTGGGCTGCTTCACACTCTTACCTAGCCTAATCAATGATCCGCTCTGAGGATCCTGCACAACTTGTGCCTCATCAAGGCAAGTGCAGCCGTATGATGCAGCTGGCTGGGGGCCTGTCAACTCCCCTGTGGTACTGCCTCACTTTTTAAAAGCAGGTCCCTGGAGGGCAACCATTGTTGCCTGGTGGGCTGCAGTCGGCTTTCTGGGACCCAGGTTGTGCAGGCCGGATCTGAGGGAAAGAGGGTTTCTCTTCTAACTAGCACCAGCTTAGATGGTGCATCATCTCTGTGTTTTAGTAGGCTGGCCCATGCCAGTGAGATAGCGCAACAAGTACTGTCGTTGAAGAGCACAATTATTTGTTCTTTTACACACACACACACACACACACACACCCACACCCTGGGATTTCACCAATTGGCTTGAATCTCAAAAGAGCTGAAAGTGCAGACAGTTTATGTAGGCAAGCTTGGCTTTGAGTTTTTGTTCTTGTTTAATTTCCAAATGCACATGCAAAGACACCCGCACAGCACAACACAACACTAGATTACAACGGGTATGAAAATGAAGGGTCTCCCCTATCCCTCCCCAACCAGGCCTTGTATATGGAGTACACTGGCCAATGTGTGCTTCGGATGGATAGAAACTCTTTCAAAAGCTCATTCTGGACCCAAAATCTAGAGCAAATGCCTCTGCTGGAGGGGAACACTACAGAGAGGGTGCCACTCAGCAGGGTGTTCTGTGTTGACCTTCAAACATTCATTCTGGTGGGGTTTGCAAGGCTCTCCTCCTGCCCCACTGGATTGTGGCCCTGCAAATGTTGCTGGACTCTCAACTCCCATCAGCTCCAGCCAGCATGGTCATTGGTGACAGGGATAATGGGAGTTGTAGTCCACCTGGAGGTCCACAGCTTCCTGACCCATGAAAGAAAGCTTTCTGTTTTGGTTACACCATGTGTGCTGCAACCCTGCAACTTCCATTGAAGACAGGGAGACCACTGTGTGTAACAGGATGCAAACTGCAACTTTAGCACACGTCCAAGCAGAAATAATTAGATTGTGGGCTGCAGATTGGAACCACAGTTAGGCAATAGGTTCTGAGAAGCTCTCCTGTGGCTCCCAGCTGCAGTTAGAGCCTTTCTGGAGGGATTAATTGTCCTGGGCCTCACAGTTGGTGGGGGCACATCAAGCAGCGCATGAACTCAACTGAGCAGGGGGCGGGAACTCCAAGGAACCTCTGGCTTCCAGTTTTTAAAAGGCCCTTGCTCAAGCACTGTCAGAACAAGGTCTCTCTGCCCAAAGACAAAACAGAATATGTAGAGCGCAGTAGGGCCAATCTGGAAGTGTTATCGCCACATTCATGCTAAATGTGCTGGTTGTTTCTGCAGTTAGGCTTTGGGGGTAAATGTTCTGGAAGTTTCCAGCAGAAGCTTGCTGTGCGATCTCACAAGCCCGCTTGCACTTGCAGTTTTTGCAACAGATTTTGAAACTTTTCAAACAAGATGATGATGGAAGGTGTAAATACATGATGAAGTAATTAAAACAAAACACCAAGAATGTGGTCAGACTGCTGGAAGCGTTGGGAGATGGTCAAAACAGGCAGCTGAGCTGGCATTTGATGAGCCAAAATGCACATCTTGGTGGCGAAGCCAGGCTCCCCAGGCAGCCCAGGGACAGGCTAGGAGCCCTCTTTCTCTCTAGTCTCCCTCTCAAGCTCAACTTAGAGTAATGTGTGACAAGTGGTGGTTCAACAAGTAGATATATTCAGACCTCACAACAACCAAATTGCTTTTCCCACTGTCCATTGGGAGCACAATCCTACATCTTGGCTATAGTGAACCATTACAGATTGAACTGCTGCCCTGGACACACCTGAAGGAAAGCCCATTTAGCTCAGTGGCTAATACACTGCACAGGATTCACTCACTGAGAGGACTAGGGGTGCCTGGGAGAATGAAGTTGTGCCCCCACCCCCCACCCCACTTCCACCCTGCACATAACAACCACACACTTTCTGTTGTGGGCGGGGGGTGGGGATGGAAGCCCTTCCAACATGCCCACGCATAGGTCACTCAGACTGGGGAGCCTTCCTTCTCCCAAAACCCTCCCCCCTCGTCAAAATGTATTTAAACCAGGGCTGATTACTTGCATTTAAATGGGCACCTGCCTTAAAAAAACAACCAGATGACTTTGACAGAAGATCATCTCAGCGGCCACTGCATGTCTAATGATGCTCTTTTCACCTTTGTTTTTGTTGAAACACTGATCTGCAGATAAATATGAACTATATACATAGAGCTGTTTATAAAGCAGCATTGATGTTGGTGGCCAGTCTAGAAGAGAGGTCTGGTTTTGTACTGGACATTTCTATACAAGATCATTTGCCTCCTGGCACATTCCAGATATTTGCTTTGCCCAGGCACATCACAGGTCATCTGCAACAAAAGGGGCTTCCCTCCATATAATGATTTTGTAACCTGCAATGGATCATCGTGAATCACAGAGGAGATACATGGGGCATCTTCAAATATCTAAAGGACTGCCACAGGGAAGAAGAGCAATCTTGTTTTCTCCTGCTCTGGATTCAAGGTACAAGAAAGGAGATTTCTACTAAACATCAAGAAGAACTTTCTGACAGTTAGAGCTGTTCAACAGTGGGACAGTCTCCCTTGGGAGGTGGTAGACTTTCCTTCCTTGGAGGTTTTTAAACAGGACAAGAGGATCCAGATTTTTTTTGCTGCTATGATGATGGAAGGAACTGTTCTGAGGTCTGCTGTGCTGCCTTGGCTAATGAAACCACCCTGCAGGGAATATATTGTGTGAAATCTCCAGCAAGCATCAAGTGGCCAATGGAAAGTATTTGGGGCAGAGCTTAAAGAGAAGATGGAGGTGTTCAAGAGCAAGGGAGTCGAAGGATGAACAGAGAGCAAAACTGCCTTCCATCTACAGCAAGGATGGGGAACTAGTGGCTCTCCGGCAATTGCTGGATTCTGGCTGCCATCATCCTTGATCATTGGGCCATGCTGGCAAGAGCTGATGAGAATTGCAGCCTGGCAGCATCTGAAGGGCCACAGATTCCCCACCCCTGCTCTAGACCCTCTGTTTGAGATGCTTGGAACACTTTGAATCTAAGAGCATGTTTTCACTATAATCATATCTAGTTTAACATTCATTTCCCCTCTCGGGGGGGGGGGGGGTTAAGTAGCTCTAGTGGGGAACTCTCAGGACCTTCTGCAAACTACATTTCCCATAATTCTTTAGAGTGGCATAATAGTTAAAGTATAAAACTAACCTAATGTTTCTAAAGCACCTCTCAGACTCCTCATGTTCCTGAAAAGGAAGCTCTTAGTTGTGCCAAGGTTGCAGAGTATTAACAAGGAACAACAAGCTGGATGAAAAGCAGCCCAGTGGCCCTGGAAACCTTGTTCCCAGCATGAGCCAGGTCTCCCGTCCCTGCTGGTGATGCATCAAATTAGCCTTAATGCCCTACACAGTTTAAGCACAAAAACACACTGCTAGAAATACAAGCTACACAATGTGAAATTGTCCATCTCTAGGACACTGGGTGAAGGGCAAGGGGAGAGGCAGTGCAGCAAAGTCCTCTGAGACTCAACTTCAGCACCTAAGGCTTGGCCCTCAAATGCCCGGCAGCCTTGCATGCCTCCTTCACTTTGCAGGGTCCAAAGAGTCCTTCCAAATGCAACGGGCTTGCTCCTCCGTGCCGTTCCACACTTCTAAGCCCAGAGTGGCATAGATCAGGGGGAAGAGCCAGGAACGTCCCCACGGTCAGGAGGTGAAATAGGAGCTTTGCATGGAGTAGAGGCGGTCAATGGGGTTGCCCACTCGGGTCTGCAGGAGGTTGGCTTCAGCCGCTGACAGCAGGCAGTCACCCAAATGGCCAATGGTGTCACTGTCCATGTCGTGGAAGACGCCTTCTGAATCTAGGGTGCGGAAAGAGAAGGAAAGTTGCTTACGAGCATTTCAAAAGGAAGCGGGCAGAGGGCTTGCGGCAAAAGGCCATCCTCCTCTCCCTTTGGGGGGGAAAAAGATGCCACAAAAACAGGAACTATTCTGGATTTTGGTGTGTCTTTGGGCCCTGCACCCCAGTGGGCCTCTGGGTCAGATGGTAAATGAACCAGCCATCTATGGGCAAAGAAGGGGGAAGGAGACCCCCTCCCCTTTGACAGTGGCCATGGTCGTGGGGCTGCTACCACCTCTTCCTGCTGGTACCAACTGAGCCCACAGAGAGAGGAGGATTAAATTTCTACCCCACATTTCCTCCCAAAGGAGCCCAGGATGACAAACATCAGGAAGTTAAAGCAATATAATTGAATATATATATTTAAAGATATTTTAAAGACCAACTAAAACATTTCAAAACACCCAGCACATCTAAAAACATTTCTAAGCAATATGAGCAAAAGGTCCAGTCAAAAGCCTTGTGATTATCTGTACACTCTTCTCGCTCCTCTTAAACCATTATGGCTTTGCCTGTTGGCTAATTTATTCCTCAGCTCCCCTTTCACAGGCAAACGCCAATGGCAAACAAAGCACAGTGGCATTTACACCATCACCATCAATCCCATTTAACGCCACCACTGGAATGAACCAGGATATAACTTGAAACAAAATGAGTGTTGGTTATTTTGAAAGCCACATGGACATCATTCGGTGAATGGCAACATTCTCACAAAAATGGTAAGTAGAAACAAGAGGCCAAAACTCAGTTTGGCCCTCAGGGAATCTTACTTTGGCCCCATCACTTTTAAAGAGGCACCATGCCACTTTAAGCCGTCATGGATTCCCCCAAAGGCCACATCTGCAATATACCTTTAAAGCAGTATCACGCCACTTTAAACAGACATGGCCTTCCCCAAAGAATTCTGGGAACTGGAGTTTGCTAAGAGTTGTTAGGAGACCCCTTTTCTCCTCACAGAGCTACAGTTCTCAGAGTGGTTGAAAAATCAATCTCTCTTCCCAGGGGAACTCTGGAAATTGTAGCTCTGTGAGGGGAAAAGGGGTCTCCTAATAACGCTTGGCAAACTACAGTTCCCAGAATTCTCTGGGGAAGGCCATGACTGTTTAAAGTGGCATGATACTGTTTTAAATGTCCGTTGTGGCCTTCGGAAGCAAGAAAGATGAGGAACAGCAACAGGCACAGCCGTCTTCGGTCTTTCATTTTGAGGGCCACTGTAAAAATAATTATTTAACTTTCACAGGTCACATACACCCTGTGTCATGAACATCCTATGGGATAACCAGCCTCATATAACCAACATGTTTAATGCAAGAAAGGGTTAGGACTATAGAGTAAGCTGTCCTGACAGGCTTAGCTCACCTTAGGAAGAACTAAGTGTCAAGCCTTTGTTCCCTTCCATCTACCTAAGAAGCTCAATGTGCGAGGAGGTCTGAGCTGGTTATTGCAGCTCAGACCACATGGCTCTTACAAGCCTCTCTTGAGTTCCTATACCCAATAATTAGGAACTTTCACCACTGTAACTAAACTAAGTTTTACTGCCTCTGCAACTTTTTTTGAATGCTGTATGGAAAAGAACATGAATATGACCTTTGGAGAGTTTGTAAGTAAACCATTTTTCACTTACCAAATGTGTGGTTTTTAATCTATGCTAGGGGAAGAAGGAAGCTTTGGAACTTCTAAGGGCATATTTTAAAGGTCTAACAGTCTATATTTCCATGCTTTGCTGCATATTTTGTGATTTTAAATTTCTGCCTAGGTTCTCTCATCAAAGAGTACTTGCCCCAGACTTGGATCTTGGCATCCAGGGAATCCTCCTTTTATGCCTATTCTTTTCCTTGCCACCAACATCTATGGAGGGAGATTTTTACTTCTGCTATGCACCCACTGGCAGAAAAAACTGTGCAGGAGCATTATGTCTCTGTAGGAAAAGTGTGACAGAGGGGTCTGGTGCACAGCACATGCTCATAGCAGATTCCTCTGGAGAAGCTCACCATAGGGGTGGAGATGGTCTCCTGGCAGCTGGGGTGGGGTGAGTCCTTGCCGGTACAAGTCTGTGCTGTAGCTGTTCTGATCCAGGGGAAGCAGCTGCTGTTGGGCAATCCTGGAGTATGGCACCATCAGACCCTCGATTCCATGCACACTGGCACCATCTGTTGAAGCAAAGAAGGGGGGAAGCCTATCAGCGAACACTTTGGATTTAGTAATAACACTCTGTGTGTGTTTAAGTAACAACCAAGTTACTGAAACTACTCTGTCCTCTCAAAAGCTGTTTTATTTTTTAAATACTTGGCTCTCACATCCTCTCTGAAACAGCACTTAAAACAGCCAAGCCTGGGGAAAAGACAGACATTGGGGAATGCAGGTTTGCTGCTATGATCAATAATTGCTGTTCCAGGCATATCTTTGTTGTGAATAGACAACTTGGAAGGCCATGTATAGCCATCTCCTGATAACCAGTATTTCATTTTAATTTATTTTAAAGCAAGTTTCTGTCCCTCACAGCTGCAGAGTGTGAGTGGAGACTGCTGATTCCTCAGAAGTCAAATGAAGCTTTTGATAGGACTTCAGAGCTCTGTGTGCCTGTCCACACTTTACTTTCACTCCAGGGAATCTTGGGGAGTGTAGCTCTCTCTAACACTGGGGTGGGTGGGGGAGGAACCACTGACCCTCGGGTGCTGTGGGACTCTAACTTCCATCAGCACCGGCCACCAGCAGGGCCAGCAGAAAGATGATGGGATGCAGTCAGGGATGCAGTCCACCAACATCTGAAGGGCCACAGATTCTCCTGAGGCGCCAGTATCCTCACAAAGCCACACTCACAATCCCAAATGTAAACTGGTGAGTTAAAGCCATTTCTATTTTGTGCACAGACTCCTACTCTTCTACAGTAACGCAATCCTGGGGTGGGGGTGGGGTGGCGGACGGGACGGGACGGGACCCAGAGCTGTTTAATTACAATACACTATTTTGATGGCATAAACCAGGGCCAAAATATAGACTGCAAGTTACAAAAATGGTATGTTTGCTCTCCCACTGAATGTGCAACAAAGGTTACTGTTCTGTAACTGAGCAGATGCACACAGAGGCACTCACCTGTTCATGGTCTCATGGTGAGATGCACTGTATTTCTCTTTCGTTTATAGTAATTACTAACGGAGCCTTTGGCTGCTGGGGAAGGAGCCTCAGAGAGTGGTGGGAAGGCAGGGACCTTCAGTCCTTGCAATGGCTTCTTTGGGGCAAGACCTGCTGGGAAGCGTTGCTGTGACCACTAGCCCTGAGATGTTTTGTTTCTTTGAGTTAACTTCACTGACATCGGTGCTTTATTGTTTTGTTGCTGACCTCCGCCTGACTCCAGCTCCTGACACCAAGGGACTCAGGTGCCCTCGAGTTTCCGCCAGAGATTCTCACCTTCGCTGTCTTCATTGCTTTGCCTGCTGCTCCTTCCGGTCCCCCTTCCGGTGCCCAGGCGTGGATTGCCCAGCTGCTCCTGCTCCTGCTGCTGCTGCTGCTGTTGCCTGCGGGCGATCTTCTTCATCTGCAAGGAGGAGGACGGATGCTCCTGGGCAGGGGTGCAACAAAAGGGGGAAGGGAGGACAGAATCCCCCTCCTAAATTGGGGCGAGGGGGTCTGTCCCCTTCCGAGGCCAGTGCCACACACCTGCCCCTGCCTTGCATCGGATGCTCTCCTCCCCTCCCGCCAGCACTGCACCAACTAAGGTTGCCAGCTGACAAGAAGAAGAAGGAAGGAAGGAAGGAAGGAAGGAAGGAAGGAAGGAAGGCAGGAAAGACGGCCCCTTAAGATAGACTACTCCTTAAGTTTTAACCGTGGTTTAAGCTGAGGAAGTCAGCAGGCATGATGCTGCTCTGTAAAGTTGCTCAGAGAACTTTGGCTGAAGTGTAATGAATTATCTTCGATAATAGCAAAAGATGTGGTTTTCCACAACAGGGAGCTAAATATTGTTCTCTGGCTACTTCCTGCAGACCAGAAACCACAGCTCAAGGCATTGCTGCTGGGCCAGTGAATAAAACTGGCACTGATTCATATTGCGCCCACATTTAAAAGCAACTCTAAAACACCAGACTCAGCAAGGGTTGCCACTTCTTTTTTGCTGGGTTTTTGTACAGTTCCTGTGCCCTTAATAGCTTCATGACAGGCAGAAATTCAACAAGTGCAGTAATCCCAGCTTGAATAAGTAGGAATGCTGAGAGGAAGACCTGGTGAATTTCTGCCTGGCACAGGAGCCCTGCCAAGGCAAAAGCATAGGCAGTTCTGCTCTGGGATTGAGAGAGCTCAGCTGCAATTGCCAAAAGTGTGTGCTCTTGGTTTGTTTCAGCATTTATAGCCCACCTTTCTAAACGTTTAGGGGCCTATTTGGGGTAAGAGCCAGAATCTGACAGACAAAGGTGTTCCTCCTCTTAATAATGATCAGGGATTGTGTGTTGCTCAGAGGCCTGAGAGTTCCAGCCTCACAGCAAGCCGATCGGGCGCCTGGGAGGCGTGCGTGCCCTGTGCCCAGGGGCGGGACCAGCTGCCCGCGGGGGCGGGGCGAGCTGGGGCAGGACGCTCTGCGGGGCCTCCAAGGGGTCTGCCTGCCTCTTCCCACTCGGCCGCCCTACAGCTGTGGGGGAGGCACCGTCAGACCATTTGGGGTAGCGTGGAGCCTGCGGGCGCCCAAGCCACTGTGTCACTCCCAGGAGAGACGCATGGCTTGGGTGCGCTGCAGGCCCCGCGGTGAGTGTCGCCCGACATTTTGTCACCCCCTTCAGTGGTGACACCTGGGGCGGCCCGTCCCCACTGCACCCCCTTCCCCTGCCCGACTCTGGCAGAGAGAGATGCCCCTTCTCCTTCCTCCTGTTTAGTCAGAGATAGGTTGCCACTCAAATGTAAAGCTCTGAGGCCGTCACTCACCTTGGCTCTTTGATTCTGGAACCAAACTTGCACCACCCGAACAGTCAAGCCTGTTTCAGCTGCCAACGTCTCCCTCACCTGCCCAGCGTGGAGAGTGGAAAAGCGTCTGGTTAAAAAGAGTTCCATCCCTCTCAGGTTGAGGCTAAGAGATGCTATGCGCTGCCAAAGGATTTGCAGGTTCTCCTCTCCCCACACCTGATTGCTAAAAGAAAGCAATCTACCCGCCTCCAACTCCTCAGGGCTGAAAGTGGGGCTTGTTCAGCCTACAACAGGGGTCAGCAAACTTTTTTGGCAGGGGCTGGTCCACTGTCCCTCAGACCTTGTGGGGGGCCGGACTATATTTTGAAGAAGAAAAATGAATGAATTCCTATGCCCCACAAATAACCCAGAGATGCATTTTAAATAAAGGACACATTCTACTCATGTAAAAACACGCTGATTCCTGGACTGTCCACAGGCTGGATTTAAAAGGTGATTGGGCTGGATCAGGCCCCCGATCCTTAGTTTGCCTACCCATGGCCTACAACATTGTCTGTGGGTAGGGATCGACAAAACTAATGTTGGTCTCTCATCCTTTATTTTTATCTTCCAGTCTTAAATTCAGTTCTCCACATTTCCAGCATGTGATTTGTTTAAAAATGCACAAAGTTCCCATGAAATTTTGTCAGAGTTTAGTGATGTTTCTCCTAACAGACACTTTTATAAACAATTCCCCCCTAACATTTGCAAAGCTAAGCAGGGTCTGGTCTGGTTTCAAATTGGATGGGGGGGTTGCATATTGAGATGCCTGCATTGCGGGGGGTCGGACGACATGACACTGGCTGGTCCCTCCCGCTCTCAGATTCTATGATTCTGTGAACTGAGTGTGGGCTTGTTGTGGACTGAGTCTTGCTTTAAGTGTTTTGCTTAAAAAACTTTTTAAAATTATCTTATTGCCTTGAATGGAGGTTTAGAAGGCAATTAATAAATTGATGACAACAAATGCATTTTGAATGTTTGATGTTTTACTATGTTTTATGTATGCTGTAAGCTGCCCAGAGCAGCTGGGGAAACCCAGCCAGATGGGTGGTATACAATACTAATACTAATAATTGCACACTTTCTCCATACACACACACACACACACACACACACACACACACACACAGAGAGAGAGAGAGAGAGAGAGACGTATAGGCATTTTTTGACACATTAGTTGGAGAACTGGATCAGAGCTGAATGAATTTTGATGAATAGCTGCATTTCAGTTCATGTAATATTTTGCATTAAAATGAGGTTTGCATTAAAAGATAGGTTGATATCAAAATGTGAACTAAAATTAATCTCTGCCCAAGCCTATGGGAAGAATTCAGGATATTGCTAAGCCACTTTTTCCGTCAGTGCAAACATCACTGCTTGCCTAAGGCAACAATCTGCCGCCCTCTCCCCTGACCCCCCCCCCGGATGTTCTGGGGGTTCTCCCACCCCCAACAGCCAATGGGGAGGAGGGACAGGAGGAGAGGGCGGGGAAACTCTCTTATCCCCCCCCTCATGCAAAGGGATCTTCTGTGATACTGGACCTTCCGGCAGGGCTTGGAGGAGACTTCGAAGGAGGCCTTGAAGGCCCGGCGCTGCTGTGTGGTGAGGATGGTCCGTGGCCGCTTGGAGCGCTTGTGGTCCTTGGCTTCCTCGCTGCCTTTGCCCTGCGGGTGGCTCCCATCCTCATCCTCACTCTTCACTATGAAGGGAAATGGAAAACACCGGACTCAGGATCGGGTGCCCAGTGGGAGACAGCTTCTCTGTCCTGCCCCCTTCAAGAAATGCAGGCACTCCTCATGGTCACTTCTCTCATGGGAGCCCCTGCCACAGGAACCTGCAGCTCCCCACTTGTTGCCAGAATATGTCTCCCCTTATCCTTCGGTTGGCCAAGCTGGGTGGGACTGAAGGGAGTTGGAGTCCAACAACATCTGGAAGCCCCTCAGGGAAAATATACCGGTAAATTAGCATTGCTAGCACATATACTGGCTAGGTCTCCTGTTTCCTTCATCTTAATGAGAAGCCTTATAAATGAGAATTGAGACGGCACCTTAAATGCCACCAGCCTTTGTGGACCAGAGTCTATTCCATCAGATGCTGCAAAAGCTTATGGCATTAAAAAACTGATTCATCTTTAAGGGGCCGCAAGCCTTTTTGTTGCTTTTGCTGCAACTAACAAGCATGGCCTCTTTGGGGCACAAGCCTGGGCAGTGTGGATGGAGGTCTGGGACTGTCCAGATGACAAGACCCCCTCTTGGCCTTGCTGAGGTGGTCCAAAGGAAAGCAGAGCAACACATTTGGCACCAGCTTGGTGGCAGGAGTTGCTGGAAGGGACTCCACTCCAGATTGGTGTCAGGTTTACTCCTGAGCCTTCTCCTGAAGATGTCAGGCTGAGGTGGCATTGAGCTCACAGAAGCGCTGGGTTGGCAGCCTTGAGCCAACTGCTGCCACCAGAGGCTCAACGTTGCATTTTGCTACTTGTGGCCAAAGGGGAACATGCTGCCCCACTGCAGCTCTGCAACTGCCCCCCCCCTGAAGCCTGCCTTGCCTGGGTTGCGTGGCAGCAACTGCAAAACAGCCGTGCCTGCTTCTAGTGAGAGCTCACAAAAATCTCACGACATCCCATGCTCTGCACAAGATCTCATGAGATTTCAGAGCACTCTTGTGAGATCTCACCAAACTCTGCTGCCACTGTTGGTTCTGCTTCCCTGGCGGGTGTGTTTGTGCCGGGGGACACTGCCTGGTGGGCTTCTGCTGCCTGAGGCAGTTGGTTCACCTTGGCTCATAGGAGGGTCGGCTGCGACAGCCCCCTTGCCCCATTCTGAGGAGCTGAGCACTGCCTCCGCTGGGAGGATGCCACGGCCCCTGCCTCTCCTGTGAGCCAGTGCTGCATGCAAGCAGTGAGATGGGTGCAGAGATGATGCAGCGGAGGAGGCCTGGACCGAGTGCGAGTGGAGACACGGCATGCACACATTGGAGGAGGGTGCCCCTCAGGCTCCTGCTGCATGGATAGGAATATGTTAGAACATAGGTTCATTCATTTCAGTGGGTCTGCTCTAAGTAGGACTAGCTTTGGGTACAACCCTCTGTCTTTTAAGGTTGCACCTGTTCATTCTAGCTCCTTATCTAAGGTCAGCAGCTTCACAGGAGGAGGCCACAAAGCCTTGTTGTTCCTGGTTGAAACAGGAACTTGTGCATTGCATTCTTAAGCATGGCTATTCAGAAGTAAATCATCCTGAATTTGTTGGGTTTCCCCTGCCCTGCCCCACAGAAGTGTGATTTGGATTGCAGATGGGGGCTTTGTGGATGGCAGATTTGGAACTAGAGTGGGAGGGCATGGTATCCATTTTCCTACATAGGACTGTGCTTATGTGGCCTCAGATGCCCAAGGTGATAGGACTCTGGAGTGGTGACTCTGCCCATGCTCAGAGACATTTGCCTCCATCCCTACAAAGAAGGTCTCATTGCTCTTGCCTCTCACCTGACTCGGTGGGAGCGGGGCTGATGGCGCTCAGCATGTCTCTCTCCTTCTCATAGTCACTGCGGCAAAGCAGCTGCCCTTCTTTGAGCACAAACTCATCACCACGCTGCAGCCGCCTCTCGCACTCACAGCAGGAGAAACAGTGGACGTGATAGACGTTTTCCAGCACCCGCATGATGAACTCTGAGGGAGCCACTGCTTTGAGGCAACCACTGCATTTAGTCTGGAAGAGCCTGAGAAAAAAGGGGAGCCAGACATTGAGGCAAAGCAAATATGGTGGAAAGAGACCACCCTTGCAAGGAAGTCCACCTAAGTTACTAGTCCATTTTTGCTAGGCTTGGTGTACCTACCTGTGTGCAGCTACATTTGCTTGGTGAACCTACATACATTCCTGGGTGTGTTAATAAGGTGTGGCACATCAGCAGCCTGGAATCTGGAACTCTTTTCCAATTTATGAAGATTTTCCTATCTGATCAGCCATGAGTGAGTCTGACTTACCTCAGGCCAGACCAGGGGTCTGCAACCTTTAAGACAAAGAGAGCCACTTGGACCCGTTTCCGAAGAAAAAACACCTGGGAGCCACCAAACCATTGCAACATTTAAAGCATGCGCGCCGCTGCCCTCCGATCTGACAGCGGGCAGGAAGGTGACGTCGGGACGGTGCGATGTCACAGCCAGTACAGCGCCCGCCACAGTGGGGAGTGTCGGGGCACACAATGCGCCTCCTCCCCTCACTAGTATCTGCCCCGGAGCCGCGGCAGAGGTGTAAAAGAGCCACATGTGGCTCCGGAGCCACGGGTTGCAGACCCCTGGGCCAGACAGACAGACTTGGCCATTTGTTAAGGAAGGGTCTCGGGTGATAGATGTCAACTCAGCCTGGCCAACTACCAGGAAGGCAAGAGGCAAAGCTAGTTCCTGCTTCCCCACCACTCTCTGCTGGGGTGGCTTTGCCCCCAGAGCCTGCAAGCATACCAACCATTTTGTTTTCATGGTTTATTCAGACGTGCCAGGTCTGTTCTCCCAGGTGGACAACAAGGCTATGCAAGCCCTCGGCCAAAAAGAAAAAGAAATCCAAATCCCAAGCTAGGATTTACCTGCCCTGCTCTTCGTCTAAGAAGCTCAGAGCTGCTTATATATATTTTCCCCCAGAGCGTCTCTCATCCATTGTGACCACTAGATGCTGGATTAGATCCCGTAGGGCTCTTTGTACCACTTCCATGGGTTTGTAGGGGAGAATCAGCAAGAAAGCAATGGGCCGACCATCTTCCCTGCCAGCTGATTCTCTTGAGCAAATGCTTCATCCATACTCACATCTGTTATCTCAGCAAACACAGGTTTGGGAAAATACATTTGCCAAGGCAACTTCTTGTTCCATCTTTACTTCACTGTAAGGTGGCAAGGCCTATGGCTTTCCCTTTATTTTACTTTGATTTATCTGTATGTTTTAGAAATAATAAACAGTTAACTGTTTATTGTTGGCTTTTGCTTTGATTTAGTCAAATCCAGATTGCTGGATACATAATAATTTTCTTACTGAGGTTCCTAAACATAAACAAAAACAAATCCTGATCGACGATTATGAGGGAAATGATGGGGCAAGTTCTCTGCTTGGAACTCCTTGCAAGGGTTTAGCTCCTCCAATTTAAGGGAAGTGTAACACTGGGCAACAATTTTTTACTTTTTGAATGTTGTCTAGATTTCTACAACTGATTTAGGGTATTTTTGCACTGCTGAATCAGGAAATGGCATCCGTTTCTCGCCATCAGGTCAGGTTTACTGTAAACTGAATGGTGGCCATTGATAAAGGTAAGTACACGTAAATTGCATGTTGCTTCACCATTTTTCAAACTTCAGGGCTTGAACTTCCGTTTCTTGGAACTCCTGGAATGCTCAGCAGCAGGGAGGTCTCTCTTCAGAGTCCAACAGTAGTCAGCCATCATGACTGCGTCCCAGCGACCCTGATACCTGGTTGTCAGAGCTGCCCGAGGTCCCAGCTCACAAAGGACCAACGCCAGTGCGTTACTATTTACAAAAGTCTTTATTGAAGTTCAGTTTCGATTTCAAAGCCGCGGCGCGCAGCTCTACGTCCTAAACTCTAGACCGCCGAAGCTCCGTCTGAATCTCCTCCCCCCAGACACCAGTTTAAGACTCTAGCCTTGCTCCACCTCTTCCTTTGCTCTCTTCTCCTCTGGGCCCGCCTGTCCGCTGGGGTCTCGCCTCTTCTAGACTCTTCTGACGCTGAGTCTCTTGAGTCCTCCCCCTCCCTCCGGCGGGCTTTAGGACCTGGTTCCCAATCCGGGTTTCCTGTACATTCGAACTTGGCGCGCGCGCCCAGCCGGCCACCTTCCTCCTGACCGTTACACTGCTCCTGTCACTGCTTCCCCCTTCGGGGAGGCTAGCTGCACCTGACTCTCCCTCCGTTCCCTCACTCTGCGATGGAGGCGTGGCCACCCCTGACTCATCTTCTCTCCCTGCTGGAGGAGAAGCTGGCCCTGATATATGTGACTCTTCCCCCTCACTACGCTCTGGTGGAGGAGCTGGTCCTGCTCTCCCGCTGCTGCTTTGGGAGTCCCCGCTGGCCCCTTGCTTCTGGTGTGTCCCCCCTGGGACACCCCTTGCCCTGGCCATCGGCGCCCCCCTCTGGGAATCTTCTGATTCGCTGGAGAGACTCATGGAATCTCTCAGGCCACTTTCATACTCCCCTACGCTGCCCTCAGATTCTTCCCCTTCGCTCTCCATTTCCTCTCTCCCCTGTGCCTCTGCTCCTGAGCCCCTGACATCCATCCCCCCTCGAAGCCCCCCCTTCCCCCCTCCCCTTCTTCGGGTGCGGGTTCCGGGTGCTCCAGTGCTGTGGGGGTGAGTGCGGGGTACAGTTCTTCCCCCCTGGTGTGCAGCCCGCCAGCTGGATCCGGCGAGTCCGTAATGGGTTCGTCGACGTCGATCTCCTCTGCTTCTATCTCTCTGCAGCTGTGCTCGAACCCAGGATCCTCCCCCAACACGTCCATGTCCGTCTCTCCCCCTGTTGCCTCGGGCGATGCTGTGTGTAAGGGCCCCCTCAGCAGTTCCCTGCTCCACCCCACCTCCGGTTGATTGTCCCACCAATAAGAGCGGTCTGTGGCAAACCCCGAGAGTGATCCCTCCGGGGATCGTGTGTCTGGCGCTGGCTCCTCATATGATGAGAACCCCTGGAACGTGCTGGCTGAGAGTGTGGGTGTGAAAAGCCAGTCGTCGAAATAATCTGCCGGCATAGGTCTGTGTGGGAAGAGTGCATGGAACTCGTCTTTGAGGTAGTGCTCCTCCACTGCATAGTACGGTACCCGCCTGTTGGCGCTGGTCGGGGTACCTTCCCTGGCGAGGAGATATTCAACTCCCTCTTCCCCCCATCTCGAGTCTAAAATCTCCATGACCTCGTTGAGTGGCGCCACCCTCGGTGACCCCTCCCCTGTTGGCGATTTGCTGAGTGGGTCTGGTGCGTTCCCTGGCGCCTGAAACCTGTGGGGTTCCTTGTAGGGTGTGAGCACTGATCTATGAAAGACCGGGTGCATTCTGGAGCCCTCCGGGAGTGCCAACCGGAAGGCCACTGGATTGATTTGTGCCTCGACTTGGTAAGGCCCTAGCTGCTTGTGTCCGAGCTTCTTCTTAGCTAACGTTCTGGCCGGCACTGCCTGGGCTGCTAACCAGACCCAGTCCCCCACCTGGATGTCTTCCCCGACTCTCCTGTGCCTGTCTGCCTGCATTTTGTAGGCGTGTTTTGCTAGCTCCAAGTGCCTTCGGAGTTGCTCGTGGACCTCCTGCAACTCTGCTGCCAAGGCCTCTGCTCCCCGTGGCTCCCCCTCCCCCTTCGTCTCCAACCCCGGGAAGGTTCTGGGATGCCGCCCATTGTTGGCGAAGAACGGTGTCACCCCCGTAGACACGTGCTTCGTGTTGTTGTAGGCAAACTCGGCCAGCAGTAGGTAGTCCACCCAGGTCGCGGGCTGTTGATTCGCGTAGCATCTCAGGTACTGCTGCATGATGGCGTTGACCCTCTCCGCTTGTCCTTTGGTCTGCGGGTGTCGTGCCGACGCTAAGTTGATCTTGACGTTCAGGATGTCCAGCAGCTTCTGCCAGAAGCTCGAGATGAATTGGCGACCCCGGTTGGACAGGATGGACCGCGGCAAGCCGTGAACCTTGAACACGTGGTCTATGAACAGCTTGGCGGTCTGTTCCGCTGTGGCCACCTTCGCGCAAGGAATGAAGTGCGCCATCTTGGTGAACAGGTCTACGACCACGAGTACCGCTGTTTTGCCTCGCGAGCTGGGCAGATCTGTGACAAAGTCCAGGGCCACTTTCTCCCACGGTTCGAGCGGCGTCTGTAGCGGTTCCAGCAGTCCCGCCGGCGGCCTGTATACTGGTTTGGCCCTTTGGCATGTGTCACACCTAGTGACGTAATCCGCGACTTCTCCCCTCATCTTGGGCCACCAAAAGTCTCTGGCTATCAATTCCGCCGTCTTCTCCTTGCCGAAGTGCCCGGCGCTGGGCGCGTCGTGTAACTGCTGCAGTACTTTCGCGCGGAGGTCGTCTCCCGGCACGTAGAGGGCCCCCTTGCACATGAGCAGTCCGTCGCGAATCTGGAACTCGTCGTCCTTCGCTGCGCCTCTTCGCACCTCCTCCATCTTGGATTGTGCGAACGAATCCGTCTGCAGCGCGCGACGTACCGCGTCCAGGTCCACGGTGGCTGAAGCGCACGCCCACGCCTTCGGTGCGAAAATGTGTTTGGCCGCCACCGGTGCCGCTTCCTCGAGATACTGCGGCTTCCTGGACAGCGCATCCGCCATGACGTTGTTGTCTCCCGGGATATATTCTATCCGGAAGTCGAAATCCGCAAAGAACTCCGCCCAGCGGATGTGTCTCTGGTTCAGGAACTGCGCCGTGCGCCAGTACTCCAGGTTCTTATGGTCCGTGCGGACCTGCACTGTGTGTCCGGCTCCGATGAGGAAGTGCCGCCACGCCTTGAAGGCTGCATGAATGGCCAGCAACTCCCTGTCCCAGATGGTGTAGTTCTGTTCAGACTTGCTGAGTTTCCTGGAGTAGAATGCGCATGGCCTCCAGTTCCCTTGCGGATCTTGCTGCAACAGGACCGCCCCCACCGCTCTGTCTGAGGCGTCCGTTTCAACCCTCATTGGTTTGCTGGGGTTTACGTGCAGCAGCTGTTCTTCGGATGCGAAGAGACGCTTGAGTCTCCGAAAGGACTGCT